CATTCATAAACCAAAAATTCTTAAACAGATCTGAGCAGGAAGCAAACGTTTCAGCTCTTGATCATGTGTACTTGTTGGGAAAGCAGCCAGACAGCTAAAATTGTGCAAATTTTGTGTCTCAGAGTTAGAGGCAGAGTTCTGTGAATTGTTGAGTCCGAATTGATTGGGGTGATTGTTTTGTACAATTAGGCTGTGAGCAGCTTGAGAGTTGGAGGATAGAAACCCGGTCTTATCCATCTGTGTCCCTGACAGCTAACTCGGGGCCAGGCACATAAAAAGATACTCATTGGATGAAAGGCTTCTGATTTGGGGCTCCTGGATGAGCACAGTTGCTATGACAAATAAATGGATTCAGAATGCATACAGAAATGTTCCATAGCCAGAGTCTGGCTTAGCAAAAAGCCACCATAGAGTGTGGGATATGGGTGGGTATTGTAGGCTCTGGGAATATGGAAAAGACCCATTCTCTTTTACACAGAGACCGTTATATGAAGAGCCCTGGGGGCCCAGGGGTGGGGGACCCTCTGGTCAGGGAAGCTTCCAGCCCTTAAGTCTTCCTTGACTAAAGCAGGTGGCTACAAGATACTTTCTAAGGATCTCAGACCCAGTTTGGGGCCATGCATACATAAAGGCAGCACAGGGTTTGGTAAACAGATAGTTCAAATCCTTGCTCCCGCACTTTTCTATGTGAATCTTACTTAGGCAAGCCAATTAGCCTCCAGGAGCCTCTGCTTCACCTCTTGCAGGAATGAGTGTGATAGCAACTACCTGCAATGGCTGTTTTGAAAATTAGATGAGGAATTTCCTGGGGTGGGAAGGGGCATAAATTACTGGCTAATGGTGCACATGTATGCACACATCCACACCTACACCTATCTTAAAGGTCCAAGAGGCTGTATATGCTTAGACAACAAATGATAAAAATTTTCATATGCCTTTATATTAAACACCAGTGCTCTGTGGCTCTAGAAATTTGTCCTTAAAATTTTAGGATACTTCTTGGAATGTCAAACAGCTCCTGCTTCCCCCATCTTAGTTTTCCACGGTCCTGTCCTGTTCTAGCTGTGTTCTTAGCTCTCTGCACTTGAAGCAATCAGTCCTTCTTGCAACTGTGACTTTCAGCTACAGTATGTTTTCAGGGTGGCTGATGGAGGAAGCATGCAGACAGAGTGGACTAAAGGGTAGGAATGCCACGCTGGGCCCTCTACCCACAATGGTCAAGTTACCCTTGCAAACAACCACAGAGTATGCTTGAGAAAAAGTTAAGCTGTTTTATTTCACAGGATAGCTCCACATCAAACCAGCAGGCACCATCAGAATACGCAACAGAGGATCCAATCAGACACTCTATAGGACGGGCATTTGGTCATAAGGTAGAGAAATGATACCCAGAAGAGGGCAACACTTAGCATCACATGGGGACAGGCAACCAGCAATTTCTTAGGATGGTTCCAGTTTATTTTTCCTGTCACAATTTGAGGGGAGAAGGAAAGCAAAGAAAACAAAATAGACCAGCCACTCTGAAGCAATCAGAAGCAAACCTATTGCCAAACCATGTAAACAGTCACACTGCCTGGAAGAGGGCCTGGGCAGCAGAGCTAGCCTAGACCCTCTTCCATCTAGGGAAGGAAAGTGCACTCTGGAAGTTCCACTTCAAGGAACAGCTTTGTGATTTGCCTGGGACAGTTTGCACAGAAAGGAAGTGTCAGCAAAGAGCAGCAATGGCCGTTTGGCCAGTTCCAGATGATGGGACAATAGAATGCTGGCAGATCAACCTCAGAGAGGCCTGGAGGTCTCAGACTGACGGTGATGTCCTTCTGGCAGTTGCCCTGGGCAGCTCTGAGTATGTGGAACTCTCCACTTGCAATTCAGCTCAGTGGAGAAGAGATCCCAGAGAACCAGGGAAGTTGACCTGCACTGTCCGCACGAGCATAGCAGAAACTCAGCTAAGCAATGTCTCAGCTTACCCCTTCCTGCCTTTCCTCCATCACTCCTTTCCCTCCCAGCCCAGCAGGACCCACTACCATAGCTACAAGCACCAGCCCCCTCCACCCCTTTCTGGGTTTCTCAAGAGAATGAGGCATTTGCTCTAGTGTGGTACCATCTAGGAGATGAGAAGTTGGAAATAACGAGGCTAAGAAGGAGGCCATTGTGTGAGTCCTCAGGGTTTTCCATCAATTGTTTCTAATGTATGTGCGCTGTCACTCAACGATGACCAGGTACCAGGTCACGAGGTGTCCTCTGCATCCATGACTCCTGAATAAAGAAAGGAATGCACCCAACAAGGCACTCCAGGAGATGCCAACGAAGGGAGCCCTTTGTACAGGTTTCTCTCCCACCAGCTCCCCCCTTGTGTACCACAAGTGTTTTAAGTGTTTATAAGGCAGATCTCTGGACTGCTGGTTCCAGCCAGTAGCCAATGGGTGGCTCCATTTCCCTGTGTCTCTTCCCACTCCGACTTGATTTCTTCACTGGACATAAACCTTTCCGTTCCTTAGGAATCCGTTTCCCTCCTGACCCCTGGTTTAGTGACTTTACGGGAAAGACTCTCTAGTCTTAACTCCCAAGCCCACAATTCCCTCCAGTTGTGTGCTCTGTCCGGGGTTCAAAAGGCGCTTCAAGGTGAAAAGTTAGCACTGAAAACAAGGAAAGGCGACAGTTGTTCACAGGATCCCACAGCTCAGAGCAGCTCGATGAGGAAAAGAGAAGGGAGGGCAGGGAGGGCGAGTGGGGTCGGAAGCTCAGCTTGTTCTCAAATTGATCGGAGAAAGGTCTTTAGTGGCAGCTGGGCCACACAGTGCCCAGGAAATTAGACCAGGAATTAATTGTCTTTGGTCAGTTTTAATTAAATGAACATCTTGCTGGTTCATTCCTAAAACAGACTGAACACCGGTTATACATAAAGACAAAAGGCTCGACCTCAGATGAGTTGGAAGTTAAGAAATCATTTTGTGAAGCCAAAATAATTTTTTTAAATGCCCGTTATCAACTAACTGATCAGCACAGCTTTCAATAATGGTGATGGACATTGGTAGACACCACTTCCCCTCGTACGCTTGGCTATATTGAGGACTACTAACTATGTTACTACACCCCCCACCCCAATCACTGTACAATTAGGTTTCTGGTATTTGTTTTTACATTGATCTATCTACTAGGTGCAAAGATTTGGTGAGTGGCATTGGCTATAATGTAATTGTAGCCTTCTTTTTAAAAAATTACAGTTTCACATTTTAACAGTTACTTTCCAGCATTTAACAAATACAGCAATATATAGTGGACTAAAAACAGGCAGGAGTTGGAAGGGAGATGCTCACACTCGATAGACACGGATGGGACTGAGTTGGGACCTGGGGGTGGCCGAGACATGCAGGAGTTCAGATGAAGTGTGTGTTGGGGATGGGGGTGGACAGTGTTTTTCCTTGTGTTCTGCATCAAAGCTCAGATTGGGGGTTGGAGGAGTTGGGGATTCGTCTGCCATCTGTGCATGGGCTTCCCTAAATGTGAACTCATCAGCCACTTGCCGATGCGGGGGAAAAATAGATGCTTAAAGAAAACAGCTGAGGCTCTGCTCTTGAGACATTTGGGGAGAGGCAGCAAGGAAAAATGAAACAAGTCAACCCAGAGATGAATCTGCACAGCATAACTGGCATTAGGTGTGCCAGGCAATAGATTTGTAAACTCAATTTTGCTTTTATCCAGTATTCAGGCAGCGGATGTTGCATCTTGCCTGGCAGGTAAGTGGACTCAAAAATCTGGGGATAGCCCTGGGATACGAAAGAGACATCTTATCCCCTGGGTGCATAGCAGAGATAGCAGACACTTGGAAATGAGGGCTTTCGGGGCCTGGCCTGATGCAGCCCACTGGGCCATCTGCCTTATCTTGCACAGGTTCCAGCCCACCCCCCAGGCCCTGCTCTCTTCAACTGTAAAATGAGGATTTCTTTATGTGCCCACAGACAGAGGGGAAGGAAGGCTGGGTGGCTCGGCCTCTTCCCGACATTCTCATTTCGTGCCCATTCTTGACCCCATATTCTACCCAGTGCTCATCCTACAGGCAAGCAGAAAGTGATACTCCCCACACCCAAATACCAGGGACCCGTCAGGTTCCCTCCCTTGGGAAGAGAGCAAGTTGCCTTTTAATAGCAAACCCAAAGAGATGGTGGAAGCAAGCCCAATGGGAAGAAAGTCCAAGGATGGCATTTCAAAGTGTCTCGGTGACAGGAGTGCTGTATCCAAGGGTCACACAGGTCCTATCTGGTGGGACCTGTGACTCAAATTCTGGGTTCTGTACTGTAAAACTCAGAGGCAGGCAGAGAGCCATCCAGAAGGGGTCTGTGTGTGTGTGAGAGAGAGAGAGAGAGGAGGAGAGAGAGAGAGAGAGAGAGAGAGAGAGAGAGAGAGAGAGAGAGAGAGAGAGAGAGAGAGAGAGCAGGGAGATCCTTGGTTTGGCGTAAGGAGGGAGAGCAGAAGTGGTCCCATCAGGATTAGATTTGCCTGTGCTGCATTATCCAGAAAATCTGGAAGGATCTGGAAAATGACGACAACAAAGTGCAGGTGAAATGGAACCAAAAGAAGCCACGCAGAAGGCTTTTGTCCTATTGCAGTCATGTACCTTGTTTCTACCACCATGTTTTGTCTACATCAAGTGCTTTAGAAGAAATGAAGGGAGAGGAAGGGAAGGTGCAGAGCACTTGCACTCTCATGAACTCTTGCCCTATGGTGTTTCCTAGCACAACCCTCCTAGGACGGAGGCCAAGGGCCGACTGGGCACTGGAGGCTCCGGTGGGAAGCACAGTGTGCTGTGGCCTAATTTAAAAAGAAACGGCGTGACTCAACACCTCCGTGCCCATTTCATCCCAAATCTGACATAGCATAATTAGTAGAAAGAGGAAGAAGAAAAACATTAAATATTGTGAAGATAAGAGAAGTGAACTTCTATAGTCACCACAGATTTACCCCTACAGCATGTCTAGGGTGTCAAATACTCCATACTACTGTTTGGTTTTTGTGGGGTTTTTTGTTGTTCTTTTTTCCCTAACCACAGGTAATGCTGTGTTATGATGGGGCATAGCATCTCACCACCCCGATTCTGCATATATACCCAAGGGTTTTCACACCAACCTCCCCTGTGCCTTTGGGGGTACAGTTGACCTTTGGCCTCCTGGTGGCAGGGCAGAGCCTCTGGGAGTGGATGAAGGGTTTTCTATGAAGGGTCCCCGACCTTTAGGAGCAGCCTGCTTGGGGGTACTGCCTGCCCCACCCTTCCTTGAGGGGCAGACTGTTCTGGAAGGCCACGACTTCTGGAGACAGCTGGAGACTGTTTCTGGTTTTGTGTCTCTGCAGGTTAGTGGTATATTGCTTCGTTCGCAGTTACTGTGGGGCCTCTAAGTTCTCCCAGAGAAGTCCCTGCAAATCCCACCAAGTAACAGTGGGAGATGTTTGGTGGCATGGGTCTGAGGTAAATCTAAGTTTCATAAAAAGAAAAAAAGGAGCGTCTATATACAGTTAGCATGTGTGTATGTCCAGCTCTCTAGTATATGTATATAGATGCATAAATATATATACACACACACCTACAGACACATACGTACACATATGCGTATATATGCACGTATTTATATACACACACATATATACGTATGTAGAGAATATCGAGAGAATAATTTTCCAGTGACAATATGAGAAGCTGGTAAGCATCTGCCTCAATCTTAGGACACACTGTCCTTGGGCCTGATCTTGCTCCAGCATTCCTTGGCATGTCTATTTGCCCACAAGAGGTCTGTGGCATTCACATGGCTGAGTAGGAGGTGCAGCTAACACCTGGGCCTCTGCTCTCCACAGACATACACCCACCCAGGCTGACCTTCTAGGATCTGCCCTCCAAGGCCAGGAGATCCCTGGGAAGCAAGTAGAAGCCACCGAGGCCACCCTAGGCCATGGTGTGCAGCAGTGGGCCATGGCGGTATCACCGGTCCTGCAGGTCACATAGTGCCAGACTTGTCCGAGGAGCTATTGGGGAACATCTTCTCAGTAGGTGTCACAGCTGGGCTGCCTACGCCTGAGCTGCTGCTGCTGGAGGACCTGTGCTGGACCACGGGTCTGACTGGACGCATTGGGGGTGGGCGCAGCTGGGCACCAGCCAAGCGAGCCGACAGGGCAGGCTTGAAGGTGGTCATCATCTCGGTAGACGAGCTGCTGCTGCGGCGCATGGCAGCGTCGGGGTCTCGGATGACAATGGTGTGCAGGGGGCTGGCAGGCTCCGAGCTGATGGGGCCTGGTGGATTCTTCAGAGGCTCCAGGGTGTCCAGCACCACATCTGGCGCCTGCTTGACCGTGTTCTGTCTCTCGAGTTCCCGCAACTCATGCAAAGCTGTGCTCATGGTCTTCTCGATGTCCTGGGAACAGAGAGGGCTCTGGTCAATACAGGGTCTTCAGAGCTGCTAACTAGTTCAAGACCTTCCAGAGGATGTTTCCTGGGAGCCCAATTTCCCAGAGGGAGGCCAGACCCTATGGGTATCTTGTAACCAACATAGGGAATCAACATGAGCATCCCCTGTTGTCCTGCACAAGAAGTCGCCATCACAAGGGTAGTTCACATTGTGGCAGGTAAACAGACATTTGTTCAAAAACTGACTCTACTACTTCCTTGCTAAGGAACTATACATACCTCTCTGAGACTGAAAATTCTCACTGGTAAATTGCAGACAGTTATAATACTTACCTCAGAGGGTTGATGAATGCATACAACAATCATATCCATGCAAAGAGATCGGCATAGTACCTGTCACTCAAAAATGGTAGTAATGATCCCCATAACAATGATACTTAATGCTGAGAACTGATCCACAGTGTCTAATAACTTATCAGTAAGGTAGGGACAACTGGTATATTCATTTCACACATAAGGAAACTGAAGCTCAGACTAGTCAAATACCTTGCCCAGGGTCACACAGTGAAATAATAACACAGTCTAACCCAAGTGGTCTAGCTCCAGAGTCTCCACCTAGCCATTGTTTTTGTTTTTATTTTCTTATAAGGCCTTCATTTTAGGGGTGGAGAGATTGCCTTGTGGTTAAAAGCACTGGGTGCTTTACCAAGGACCCAGGTTCAACTCTCAGAACCCACACAGTGGCTTTATAACAGGCTGTACCTCCAGTCCCAGGGATCTGTCACCCTCATCTGCCTCTGTAGGCACTACAAACATGTGGTACACATATACATGCAGCCAAGACACCCATACGTGAAATAAAATGGAAAAAAATGTCCTTCATCTTAACATATACAGATATTAAGAGACTTCACACTCTATCCTATATAATTGTGTAGCTCTATGTCAGATTTAAAAATGAAAAGAAATCCTTACCCACAGGGAAATGACTACCTACAGAACATGCAGAGAGCATCCTAGAATGATAGGAAGACCACTTTTCTCTCAGCATTATGATCTGAAAGGCTCATTTCTTGTTTTAAAAAGTGGGGAAAAAATTAAATGCATAGGACATCATTGTATCTGCAGGCTCATCAGAACAAGAATACCTCAGGTGACAGATGTGAGGCACAGCAGGCCAGCCTGAGCTCCTTGTATACCCAATCCAGGACAGGGCTGGGGCTGCAAGGCCACACTGCTCTGGAAGGTGGGGAAGCTGGGCTAGCACCCGCCACTCTGAGCTGCACTGCACACATCTGTTGAAAGCCCACATTTGCTATAAAGACGTGGTGAGAGGATGGACAGGAAGTTCTGCAAACAGCCAGACAGTGGCTATCCAACTCCTCAGAGCACAAGAGACCCTTTTAAGGGGCTGCTTCCATGTCCAGTGGGTGTGAGAGTGGCTGCTCAGGCTGATCTGACCAGGAACCCTTGGAGGGCACAACAAGTGACCTGGCTTAAAACCTTCGCTTGCAGGCAACATGCCCAGTCTGAGCAATGGTGGCCACTAAGGGATGCTTGCTTTTCAGCAGTCTGAGGCCAGTCCTGGAAGAAATGCATGGCTCTGGGGAGACAGATGGGCCTGGAGCCTGGAGCTACTATGGAGGCCTCTATCCATCCGAGTCTTCATCCTCTTCTTCCTGGATCTGTAGGCAGACTCCAGTGTGCCCAGGGCATGTCCCCAAGCAGCCTCTTGCTCACCCCACTATCCCAGTCTATCCCATTTGATTTGTATGTCCTGTTAATGACTAATACTAGCTTTTATGATCCCCCACCATTTTTAACCCTTTATCCACTGTGCTGGCAGCTTCAAGAAGGGGCCTTCAGGGGAGTCTTTATCCAGAGGCTCAGTTATGGGTGACTTTGCAGGAAGGGCTCTTTTGTCTACTGTACACATACTCACAGGGTCATCAAAGCCTTGACCACTGTTCTGGGACTTAGTCTCGTATTGCCCCCCACAACCCATTTGCTCTAATCCAATGGGAGCTGAAAGGTAAAAATGTCAATAACTAAAACGTAATTTTCTCATCTCCCCATCCCCGGTAGAGCGTGAATGGGAAAGACAGAAAGCTCAGAGAAAGGTTGGCTGAGGGGTTTAGGCTGCAGCCTTGCATTAGTCTGATGAGGGATGCGTAAGTCTGCCAGGTGAAGCTGCAGGAGGCACTGGGGACTGGGACACGGTTGGGAAGTTACTTATTTTTCCCCTCACACTTTGTGTGACAGAATTGCACATTTCCAAGACAGCCTCTTTACCTGGGCTTCAAATCTACTTTGTTCAAGACATTTGGAGACCAGAGAATCTAGGGTGACTTCATCTACTAGTTGGAGTTCTCCCCACCACCCCTCCCCTTTGACTCTGACAAAGTCAAGGGCTTCTCGGAGATGAAGCTGAGCAAGCACGTGGCTGTTCTGTGTCGTCATGACTGTTTTCCATGAACTTAAACTTCACTTGCATCCATGAAACCATCCAGCTAGAGAGGGTGTGTACACTGACAACACACTCAGTATTGCTAAGTGTATCCCCTGAGCTAGGCTAACAAATGCTCCTCAGATAAAAACTCCACAAGTCTGGAGATAGGATATACCCTGTTCTTGCTAGAGATCCACAATGCACAGCAAACTATTTCAAGGTTCGAAAATCTCTGTGAATATGTCTTTCTACTTGGTCGGAGTACCACAGCATAAATGATTCTCTAACTCTGCTCAGTCACTCCACTGGCATCTCATAGCGGTCTGTGATGCATTAGACACAGTGCCCCTGACTGTTTGCTTGTCCATGTAAAGGACCCCGGTCCAGCTTTAGGAATCCCCTGCCTTGTTGTGATGACAGCCTTTAGAAGATGCTGGGTATGAGGGTGATGGTACTCAAGAGGATGGCCTTCAAGGATGGAAGGGCAGGTTGGCTGTCTCCTCTGCTTGGTCCATGCCAAGGTACTGACCCCAAGGACTCCCTGCAAATGGGCATCAGGATATGAGGTAAAGGCCATGTGTGGAATTCTAGCAGGCGGTGCATTGTTTCCAGCCAGGGTATTCTCTGAGGATCTTCCCTTGAGTCTTGTAAGGACATGCTCAGAAGCTGACATGGTCACCTCGTCCCCTTCTAAATGGTATTCAAAAAGGCTAACCACACACACAGATTCCCTCCATCCTGAGGATCTGCTAGGCCCTGTCTGTTATCATCTCGTAAATGAGAGACAACATTGAGGGAGATGCACAATGGACCCTTCCCCAAAATGACAGCTAGGGGAATAAAAAGGGGAATTTCTGGGAATACAATGTCAAAAAACAGACTTGACCAGTGATGCTATGTGGATTGCAAACAAACTGGTTCTGTTCATCTGGCCAATGGCGGGAAAAAAATCCAAACAGAAAACACTCTAGCCCATGATGGGTCTTGGGTCACACCCTCCCAGGGAATTATTTGCAAACTGTAGACTCTCAAAATATGATATATCCTCCCTGCTCATCAAAGATACCAGGCCCAGCTGTCATTTCACAGCTGTCATTTCAGGTTGGCAGTTCTCCTTAACTATAAGCTCATGTGGGCAAGGCCAAAATACATCTGGTCTCTGCTGTACTTCACTGTTCATGGTGAATGTCACACAACAGATGTTCAAGCAAGACATCAATAAATGACTAGAGTAATAAATGAAAGATGGATGGATGCATGCATTGGTGGATACATGGACTCAATCATAGCATCTTGTGTGGAGAGGCCTGCCATTGCCTCAGCCCCTTAATCCAGCTACCCCTCTCCAGCCTGGACACTGTGGGGTCTTCCAATCTTTATAGGAGCTCTACCTAGTAGTGGCATGGGAAGGAAGCCAATTCACTGTCTTGTAGTCTGGCTCAGTATCAAGTTCCACCAAGGCCAGTGTGGCTGCCCACTCAGTGGTTCCCACCCCCTGACCCACTGGATATCTTACTGGCCTAACTAACTGCCTTCTGTGGAGCCCTTACTTCTGCCAGGGCCTCAGCCTCCAGGGACTTGTGGTCCCCTAGGCTGCTGTGCCGGGTGGAGCCGCAAGTCGACCTCATGGAGAGCCCTTCTGCCAGCGCCTTCTTGTCAGGGTAGTTGATGCTGCCAGCGCTCCCGAATGTCGCCATCCTCCTCTTCTCGGGGCTCTCAATCCGTCCCCGGCTGAGGGGGATTTTGTGGGGACTGCTGGGGCAGGCAGCAGCACGGGGTGGCGTGTCTATGCTGGGACCCAAGCCCCGGGGCGGGCTGTGTGTGTCGCCCCCGCTTCGGCGCCTGGGGATGGCCGCTCCGTCAGACCGTAGTCGCACTCTGCAAAGGAGCCAGGGTCAGGGAGCATGGGGCAGAAGTCAACCCTAGCCAGTCTCAGAATGGGCTAGCCAATCCCCCCAAGTCATAGCTACATGCTAATCTAGAGGAGCTGGCACAGTGAAGCCTCATTCAGTCACGATTTGGTGATGAAAGGGCCTAGGACACCTTCCCCTAGAGGGGAAAAGTAACTTGGCCCAGGGAAGAAAAGTTGAGAGTGGGAGCCAGTCTGGCTACACTGCAAGCCAAATTCTAAGTCAGGTCCTAGCAGGAAGATTCCAAACTGGAAATGCTGCAGCTAGCTGTGGTTATATATACTCTGAAGCCGTTTAGACCCTAGCTGGCTTGAAACACTGAGGCTTGACTGTACCAAAAGGCCACAGTAAGCACAGGAGGGGACCCCCTGGGGATGAAATACCTACTCACCACATCACCCACCAAACCTCCCAAGAGTAGGCTGTCTATATGGCTTTCCCAGATCTTGGAAAACAACTCATTGAAGAGTGAACACTCCAACACCTTGTGTCTATGGTACCTTGTCCACCTCGAGGGCTCTACTGGTATAAAAGGGCATAGGCTGCTTATCAGTAGGACAAGTCTTTGACCCATGTCTGCCACAAGCTTTCCTATATTCTCCCAAATTTACTCTGTGAATCCACTACATTGGTGGACTATCCCTCACCTGCCCAAATTTGAATGGTTCTGAAAATAACTTCAAGACTGCTGTGTCCTATGGAGATCACCCAAGGTACAGAGGCCTTCATGAGGGGAGGAAAGGCTGGATGTGGATGAGGGTAGGGAGGGATGGTGGTTGGGAATGGACCAAGTTCCATGGGACTGGTGGTGATTCAAACCCTTGCAAAGCTAAGCAAGCCTGTGGATGTCCCAGTGGGACCAAAGCAAAGGTATTGGGGAGGAAAGAGGCTTTGAGAAAGAAAAGGTTGAGAGAGGGAAGAAGGGGAGGAGGAGAGAGGCAGGAGATGCTCTGGTCCCCCTAGGAGCTGGGGACCATGACATTCTCATCTATGGACCCAGCCTTTGACCTCCCCACCCCTGATTCTATCATCTTGCTGTGTCCAACGCTGAATTAAATAGAAGTCACTAAAAAGAGGCCTCAGAACCTCAACTAAAATAAATTTTTAAGTATGCCATAGGCATCTCTTGCTCTCTCTGCAAAGACTGGGTTGGTCACATGACCCTTCAAGCTACAGTGGGGGATGGGGGGACAGACTTTGACATTCTAAGAGGACAAGGAGTTGGAGGTAAAGCAGCGTGACAATGTTTGCTTTTTCTCTTTCCCTATTCCCAGGGTGTCTTGCAGAGATCCTTGCTGATATACAGGCCATGTGACATAGCCCAGTCTCAGTGAAGAAACTGGCATATCTGCTCCCTGAAAACGGGTGGAGTCGGGTATCAACTTTCACAGAAGAAGGTGTGAACTCTCTGTTTAAATGGTGTGTTTCAGGGATGGGAGGCTGTGGGAGCTTTACATTTTAAAAATATTGTGTGACAACAGAAAGCTGGGAAGAGGTGCAGGAGCTGGAGAGAGAAAGAAAAGTACTTGCCAATTTTTCTTTTATGTGTTTGTATCTCTATTATTATAAAGTTTTAAGACAATCTTATTTTGTAGTCTAGGCTGGCCTATGATTATTATTTAAAACAGAAGGCGCTGTCTGTGATGCCAGCATATGTCTTCCTCTTCCTTAACACCCCTACTCAAAGCTGGGTCAGTTCACACTGGACTCCTTGAGTCATTCCGGCCAGCCCACCAAGATGTACTCAGGATCACGGCTTGCAGAATCAAGGTGCTGTAAGTCTCCTCCTCCCCTCCTGCCCTCCCACTTCTCCCAGCTCTCTCTCTCTCTCTCTCTCTCTCTCTCTCTCTCTCTACACACACACACACACACACACGCACACACACACACACACACACACACACGCACACACACAAAGGGGGCACTAGCAGGATGAAAATGAACCCGCATTTCCTACCGGCCCATAACCCCCCCAAAGCCGTAGTCAGAGATGTGCTCTGTGGGGGACTGGAGGTCATTCTTGGAGGAGGCCTTGTCATCCAGCAGTGGCCCACTGCTGGCCTCACTGTCAGCCTTTTGGCTCAGGCTATCGGAGAAGGCATCGTCCCTGGGAAGAAGAGAGACATGAGTTGGAGATGGTCTCAGACCTCTGCGGGAAGGCCCAGAGCTCCTCCAAAGCTGTTTGTACACACCCATGGCTACCTGTACCAGCAGCCCAGGCTGAACACCTCCCCCCCCCACACACATGCCTACCACAATGCTCCAATAGCCAGGCTCTCTTGTGGTGGCTCCCTTGTATTCCACCCCTATTCCACTGTTTCTTTCCCCTTTTCTAGCTTGTTCTCCCCCCTCCCCCAGACCCTCTCAGTGATGGATAAACAGGTGTTGGAGTCTGCAAGCACCAGTGCTGAGTGTTGAGTCTCCTAGCACAGGGTACTGTATGCTGAGTGGTTCGGAGTCAAGCAAGGAGGAAAATGACCTCCATCTGTTATCTCCCTATCTGGGGTGGCCCTCTAATACAGCATCCCCTTTCTCATATGCTTGGCCTTGGCCTTTGCTCAAGCTCAGAACTTTCTCTCCTGGATCACAACATAGGCTTAAGGTTCCCTTCCTGTGGAGTTTAGTTCTATGGCTGCTTCTAGGACAGGTCAGTTCTGCTGAGCCAATCCAAGTTCAGCACACATAAAGTGCTGACTTCTTGAACTTTCCAACAGGGACAGATATTTGGGAGGTGTGGCATTTTTAAACTCCTTAAAACATTAAAAATGGCACCTGGGTAAATGAAAACAGGAAGTCCTGTATCTCCATCCCCTAAGAAGGTCACAACTGCAATGGAGGGCTATGGGCATTAAGGGGAGGTAAGCTAGTCACTGGCTACAGGGAAAGCTCAGGATAGTGGAGGGATATAAAAGACTATGGGATGCTAGTGACCATGGTGGGTGGTGTGCCCCCTGGTTGTGACTCATGGGTCTGGATGGTGGCCTTGGACCTAACACTACCTCTGATGAGCAATTTGCATATTTCTTCTGTGGATATTTCTACTTAAAGGAAGTTAGAAAAAAAAAAAACATTCTTAGAGATAAAGATTTAATACTGATCCCAGGAGAACAAATTGTCAGCATACACTCCAGTATTCCCCTTCTACTGCCCATTCCAGACATCACTAATAGATTACTTCGTTTTTCACAAAGGCCCAAGTTCTCACTCACATGTCCTGTACAACTATGTACTGATGAGGGATGAGTCCATCCACACCATTGTGACGGCCCTCCCACCAGTCCTCTGAGGCACGGTGGTACAGGAGCAATGAGGCCCCTTTTTTGAAGGACAGCTCACGAGGGGACCTCCCCACATAGTCAAACTTGGCAATGGCCTCAATCTGCTCCACTTCTGAAAGAAAATCAGAGGAAAGAGTATCTGTGAGGACAGAGAGGTGGCCCAAGACTCAGACAGCGTGGGCTTCAGTGAGCACGATGGGTGGGGGCTTAATGAGCACATGTGGAATGGGGATCTCAGTTCAGACTCCTCTTCACTCTACAAAAAGTAGAACATCTGGGGCCAGTAAGATGGCTCATGGGTAAAAGTGCATGCTGTATGAGTCTAATGACCTCAGTCCACTCATTAAACCGTGCAGAAAAATAAAAAGCTAGATACAGTGGTCCACATCTGTAATCCAGCACTCTTGTGGTAAGATGGGAAGGAGACACAAGAGAATCACCCAGAATCACACGGGCCAGATAGCCTGTAGCATTCAGTGGCAGAAACAAGAGAAACACTATCTCAACAAGATGAAGGAGAAAGTTGTCCTCTGACTTCCATGTTCAGGCCACATCATGCATGCACATGGACACATTTTGTAAAAAGAAAGAGAAAACCTAAATGAGTCTCCAAGAACATGAGCCAACCATCAAAGCACTACTCAGAAAGAAATGCCCAGCCCCATAAGACTTCACTGCTGAATTCCACCAAACATTTAAACAGTAATAATTATTCACTGAGTCTTCCAAACAGCACAAGAGGGGGAAACATTTAGCAACACATTTCATGAGGCAAGTATTATCTAACATAAAACCTAGAATATATCACCAGAAAACTGCAGACTGACATCTCATGAATATGGATGAATTTTTTTTTCTCTACAAAATATTAGCAAACTGGATATAGGGTATATAAAAGAAATTGTTTTCATACCTGAGAAGAATTTATCCTAGGAATGTAAAATTGGTTTAACATTTAAAAATTCAACAAATCGCATCAATAAAATAAAAAGAAAAATGACATAATCATCTGAACAGATGAAGAAAAGGATTTGGCAAGCATTAACATCTTTTCCTAGCAAAACATTTCACAAAATAGGAACAGAAGGGCGATTCCTTGACTTGATAAATAAAAGAACCTCTGAGAACCTCACTGCTGAGTGAAAGAGATGGCTTAGCCCTTAAGATCTCTCGCAGTATGCTTGGGAGGACCTAAGTTCAGATCCCAGGACCCACAAGACAAGTCAAGCATTGGGCACACACTTGAGACCTCAGCTGTGAGACAGGTGGAGACACAGGTCCCTGAGGCTTACTTGGCTTCTGGGCCAGAAAATATGTCAGCCTAGAATTAGTGATCATGGAGGACACTCAACAATCCTTTTCTTGTCTTGTGTGTGTGCCAGGCATGAGTATACATGCACACATATGCATGAAAACACACTCTCACAGATACTTATGAAAAAACCTTGACAGCTAATATTATATCTTACGGTAAAATGCTGGCTGCTTTCTCTGTGTGGTGGTTTGAAATGAGAATGGCCTCCATGGGTTTGTATGTTTGAGTATTTGATCCCTTGTTAGTGGAACTCTTTGGGAAGGAATATGAGGTGTGGCCTTGTTGGAGAAGGTGTCACTGGGGGTGGGCTTTGGACTTTAACCCTCTGACACTGCAAGCCTCAAAATAAATTCTTTCTTCTATAAGTTGTCACAGTAATTTAAAATAACTAAGACACTTCAAAAGAAAGAAGGCAAGATAAAGGCCTTCATGAATATAGTCAAAACAATGAGTAACAAAATAAAATTGGATGGATTGGACTCCACCAAAATTAAAACCTTTTGTGTGTCAAAGGACAACATTTGGAAAGCAATAAGCAAGACTAATAATGGAAGAAAACATTTGAAAATCACGTTTGAGATAAGAAACTTATATTTAGAATATTTAAAGAGACATTACAATTCAACATTAAAAAGACAAATTTAAAATGGGCAACAGACATAAAGGCAGAATATTTATTGCCAGGAGATAGAAGTTTAGTGATACCTCTCAACACCCTGGGTCCTTGGGTATTGAAGGGTAGATGTGCTGCTTGGAGAGCTGTGGGACTGTGGGAACTGGCCCTGTGGCTGGCTCCAGTAAACATGAGAGCCCCTGTGAGACTTTTGACCTAGACTCTGCCCACTATGCCTCAGTGGGAAAGGAGGCCTGAGTCCATTTTACTCAGATTGCTCATCTGTGTAGTCTGATTTCCATGGAAACCAGCATGACTCACACTGTTCCTCATCTGGCAAGAGTAGAGGAATCAGGTAGATGGTCCCTTCCTCTAAACACACACACACACACACACACACACACACACACACACATTGTGTTTCTCTCCATGACCCTCATTATTGGAGCAATTCTCAGGTATCCCTACACCAGGGATGTACCTTTAATCTCACATTGTCAGTCGGTTCCTGAAGAGCTGCTTCCAATCTGTTGAGGTCTGCTGAGAGATCAGGAACTCCTGGAGGACCTACCTCATTCATCACCAGATCCCAGGCCCCAGAAAAGGCCTGGTGTAGAGCAGATCCTTGAACTGGGGCCAGGACAATGGAGGGATGGGAGATGCTTTCCTCTTAGACACTTGGGTCTGAGGATTTGTACTCATCCAAGCAGGACACACAGAAGATGACATGGGTCAGGAATGGTAGGGAGTAAATGCACAGCACCCTAGGATCTGCTCTATGTGAGCCTATGCTGGGACCCAAGGCATGTATTAAGACTTTTCTGGGTCCCTCTCCATGCTGAAGGGCAGCTGTGCTGCTTGGAGAGCTGTGTGGCTTTGGGGACTGGCCCTATGGCTGGCTCCAGGAAGCATGAAAGCCCCTGTGAGTGTTTTTTTTTTTTTTTTTTGGCCTAGACCCTCCTCTACTCACCTTCATCACTGGTATGAGGCTCTGTGCCATTGTCATGGTCAACTTCATCAATGGTCCCTGGCTCACTGTGTGGGCTGTCACTGCAAGCAAACATATGAAGAGAACTTGTTGGGGACATTTCTGAACACTCCCTTAGTGACCCCTAGCTCTGGAATTGATTAGATTGTCAAAGGCTTGAGTATATGTGGCTCACATATATTAGGAACATCATCCCCAATGCCATGGTATTGGGAGGTACACTCTAAGCACAGGTGATTAAACCACAAGGGCTGTGTTGTCAGAAATGAATCAGTGTTGATCAAGGTTAGTTATTTGAGAGAAGACTTACTGTGCTAGCCCTGATCCCTTTGGGCTATCTTGCTTGTTTTTCACACTTTCTTTCCCTCTGCCTTCCACTATGGGATGATTTAGCATGAATGCCCTTGCCACGTATAGGATACCTCTTAGTTTTCAGAACCTTGAGCTACAGGGATTTCAGTTCATTATAGATGACACAGACTCAAGTACAGTAGCAGATGTGAGCTGAAATGCTATGAGTTCAATGAGATTCAGATAGCAGAGGGAAACTGCAAGCATCTGGAAGCCAGGGCTCTCCTCATAGTGTGTGTGTGTGTTTGTGTGTGTGTGGTTTTCATCACGATACTGACTGGGTGATACACAACACTGTATTAAGTAGAAAGAACTCAATGACAAATCAAGTGGACCAGGTCCATGACCTCACCATTCACATTCTAGGGAGAGAAAACAGTCCAGGTAATGAGGCCAGTGCATAAAACAGTTGCAAGATGAAATAATGATTTATAAGAAAGAAACAGGCTGAGAGCAGCAGAGGGGACCAATATAGAGTGATCTGGATGGCTTTTAAGAAGAGGTGACATTTATGATGCCATTAAAAAACACAGAGAGCTCTAGGCAGCTCAGCTGGTAGTGTCTAGCACGTACAAAGGCCTGCCTTTTCTCTCCGGCACCACACCAACCTGGCCTGGCAGTACATGTCTGTAATTCCAGCTCTCAGTAGGTAAATGCAGGAGGATCAGAGGCTCAAGTGAGTTTTGGCTATATAATGAGTTTGGGGCCAGTATGGGCTCCACAAGACCCTATTTTAAAAGGAACAAAAAGAAATAGAGACTACATTGAAATTTTCCCCATTGCCACCAGGATTATATACAAATCAAGGCCATCAGAACCGGCCTCCACCTGACCTGCGTAGCCTGGCACCTCACCACCCTCCTGTCACACACGCCACCTCAACAAGCCTAGACACTTTTCATTCTTTTCAAACTTTTTTGGCTCAGTTCTCTGTGAACTGGCCCCAGTTTAAGCTGCTGGCTTGGATCTTTCTTTACCCCCTTGGGAAACCTTTCCTGGTGGCTTGTGATTGGCTCAGGGGCCCCTTCTGAAACAGCTTGCTTCCAGGCCTTTTAATACTCCTCTCCCTCCCAGCTGAAGCTAATCTTGCTCACCTGGAGATCCAGTCCCCAGAGGATGCTTGTGGGGGCAGGATGGGGGGGGCACTGCTGAATAAATGGATTTTGTCCACTGTACTGAAACTTTCAGCTTCATCTCCCTTTTTAGTTTTTAAAATACCTTCAAAAATGACCATATAATTGCTAATTTTCCAGTCTCATGGGGAAGGAAGGAAAGTGTGTTGAGTGTGCACTGTACATGTGTAATTCGTGTGTTTATCTTCTCTTTGTGCTGAAATTGTGCTTCCTAGCTAAATAAGGATCCTGAACAGTGTAGGACAGGGAGCTGTGACAGATGCCACTGTGACCAGACACCCTTGTGGTCCTTTGTGTCTATTTGGGGAAGAATATGTATTAGGATAGGGGGCCTCTTTGAAGCAGTTGCCTAGTAAGCCTAGAGAACAGAGGCAATTGAAGCATCCAGGCATACTTTAATCAAAACCCAAATCCCCACTGGGCATGGTAGATCAAGTCTATGATTCCAGCACTTACTGAGACAGGAGGATCACAAGTTCAAGACCAGACTGGGCTAAATAGTAAGACTCTGTTTCAAAACACCAAGCTGAAATGCCTAAGTTCCCTGCAGGCTCCTAGCAGAAAGACTTAAGTGTATTTCTGTGCTGACCTGGAATGGGGACAATATGACAGCTGGAACATTTGGCAGTATGCTTCATTTTCTCTTCTCTGCACACCCCCAAATTGCTTAAAAATGTAATTGATAGAAAATGCATATAAATTACATATTTGTGGGCTATCATGTGATCACTCAATATATGTACATTTTGTGATGTTTAAATTGGGGTAAACATGCCCGCTTCCTTAAATGTTTACCTTAAAAATAGTTTATTTTAAAGGTTATTTGCATGCAGAGGGTGGGGTGGGGTAGGGAGGATATGCGTATGTACGAGTGTAGGTGCCTGTGGATGGCAGAAGAGGACATTAGGTCACCTGGAGCTGGAGTTACAGACAGCTGTGAGCTGCCTGACTTGGGTACTGGGAACTGAACTAGGGTCCTCTGTAAAAGCAATGCATACCCTTAACTGCTAAGCCATATCATTCCAGCCCTGGCATTCATGTTTGTTATTTTATTTTGGTGCTGAGGATCTAATTCAGGGCCTCCTGTGCAGTAAGGATATGGTTTACCAATGAACCACATATCCCGAGCTTCTCTATCATTCTTTCCATGTGAAAACTTTCCTTCATCCTAGTTTCCTGAAACATCTAGTATGTCGGTGCTGTGTATAGTCACCCTTTCATTACAACTCGAACACATATCCGTCTTCACTCATTCAGGCTTAGCTTGGGGAAGGAAGCCAGGCCTGGTTCCGAAAAGGTTCTTAACTATTTCTCCTAATACAGGGAGTCATAACTCAAAGACATCCACCCAACTAATGATTGTAGACCTGAGGTGGGACATTCAAAGACATGAAGCTCAGAAAGAGAGAACTCCTGGGCGGGAGAGGCCGGTGACAGGGGTGTCACTTTCAGCTGTTGAGGTCAGGTGGGGACACCCTCTCCTCTGCTTCCTGAGATAGGCCTCACACCTGGCCAGCCACCACATTAAGAGAGCTCCTCAGCCTCAAATGAACCCTGAAACAACTTCTGGGAACGTCCAATAGGAACATCCGGAAAGAGCAGCTCTCTTTTGGTTGGGGCTGCAGAGAATGGGTGAGGAAGCAGGAGCTGCTTGCTGTCTGCCTTCTGGCAGCCACTAAGAGAAAGGCTGTCTGAGACCAAAACCAGCACAGCAGTAAGAAAAGCCAGGACTGGAGACTGTGGGGCTGGGTCCTGCTGACAACAGCCAAGCCGAACCCAGCCACACCTGGAGACACGGCCTTTGAGATTTCAGTTGAGTAAACTGCAAGTGGCATAAGCTATCTGGAGGTGTGTTTCATTCCTTGTAACTTCCAAATCTTGGCTAATGTTATCTGTCACTCATATGGGACTGCTGTGAAACTATGTACGACACTGTAATGAAAAAACTGGAAGCCTTCTGACTGCTCTTAACAATGTTAGGGTGGTGCTAATGGTAATATCAAGAGGAAGGGTGCCTTACCAGTACTCTTCCCCACCAGCCATGCATTTTTCGTACACAGGTCCCTCAAGCTCCCGTGGGCTGGGGAAGATGGCTTCATGGTGGATGATGATGGTTTTGATGACTTCATTGACATGTGCCTGGCAGGATACAGGGTCCTGCCCATCAGGGATGTGCATGAGGGTGGGCCCGAAGCAGATGGCCAAGTTGTAGGGATCCATCATGTTCTCATCACTGTACTGGGAAAGGCTAGGAGAGAGCAGGTATCCACTGTTCACCCAGAAGGCAAATCCTCCCCCACAATGGTTTCTTTCTTTCTGGGGGGGAAAGATGGACTCTACTCAAAAGCAGGAAGGGTCTATAGTCCGATTCATGACAGTAGTATTCATAAGAGCCTTGGGACTCCCCTCCCAAAGGAGGCAAGTCACAGAGGGCTCCCCAGCCCAGGTACTCACTGATTGAGGAAAGCAAAGAGGTATCTCATGACCACGATGACCACGCGGGGCAGGGTGATGAGGATCTGCTGGATTGGGTGCACCCTGTCAGCTGGGTTCTCCAGTTCTGTAAGGCACAGGGGGTTCAGGGTGCCTGTTACCATGAGAACAAGGCAGCAGACATTTCCAGGCCTCACCTCCTCCATCAGCTACATGTAGGGACCAGTCAACATGGCTCTACTCTCAGTTGAGATTTGAGTGAGAGCCTGGCGAGAGCCAACCAGAACAAGACAGGATGGGGGTTAGCCTACTCAGAACCTCTTGAAGTTGGCCTGGAGGACTGTGGAGAGACACACAGAAGGGTGCCTAGAACTTGGGTAGCAGAAAATCTGGAGCAGCCAGGACTTCCAGGAAAGAGCATCCTGCCTGGGGATCAAAGGAATGACACAGACCCCAGAGTGGACATGCTAAGTCAAAAAGGGAGGGCTCTAAAGTTCTCCAGTAGAAGAACTGACATATTTTGTTGTATGACACAGATAGTTTAAATTTCTGTCACTGGCAACCTTGGAGTCCTGGTAACACAGACAGGGATGGTTTAGTAAAGTGGCAGGCACCAGCCATAGCACAGGCCTGGCCCACCGAAGTCACTCAGAAAAGAACAGTGCAAACACAGGCTCCTCTTGAGTGACCTACTGACTAGATGGCTTGGCACATGCCTAGGACCGCACCTGGGATCTGTTCTCAGGTGAACCCTACACAGTCACATTCTGGTATTATGGCCTGGAAAGATAGAGCAGTACCTATGGAGTTGGCAACCCAGAATGAGGTCCTGATGCTGTGTACAGAGCCGACATGCTACATGTTGTGAGTGATGTTTTCCTTATAGAACCCCAGCTTCCTAAAGCCTTCATTCTCCTCAGTAGACAACAGCACAGAGCTATAGACACTCTTGCCTGCTTCTGTCCTTCCCCAGAGTCTGAAGATTATCTAGAGCCATGCTTCTCCAGGAGGTATTGTTGCCAAAGCTGGGGTTCTTGCTTCCTGACAAGGCATTGTATGGGGATGCATCACAAATGGAAGTCGATTCTGGCATCAGAACCCTCATGTCCTGACTGTGGAGGGCACACAAATAGATGTCGCCTGCCTTAAATTTCAATCAATTCCTCTAAGTCACCTTCAAGACCTGGCTAGAGGAAGCCTCACCCAAATCAGACCATAGTCAATTTTTATGCATAAGTAAATTCCACTGCCTCGCTACAAATCCTCTGGACCCTCTTGTCAGTCTTCCATGCCAGATACCCCCTCTGTGGCTATTAACTGCACTGTAGTTCTTAATGACATTTTTTAAAAATGACATATTTATCAGCCTTCTGCCTGCATGTATGCCTGCATGCCAGAAGAGGGCACTAGATCTCATTGTAGATGGTTGAAAGCCACCATGTGGTTGCTGGGACTTGAACTCAGGTCCTCTGGGAGAACGACCAGTGCTCTTAACCTCTGGGTCATCTCTCTAGCCCTTAAGGATTATTTAATTTAAAAAACTTATATTACTCTGTCATGAGGAAAAAATGAGAAACTTTTGTTATAATCAGGAGGTAACATACAAATATGTAACAATGGGCATACATTCTAAGACATGTTGTAGATAGTCTACCTGTAGTTTAATGGCACCCCGTTGTGTTTATTGAGCAATAGCTCCCTTCTGTGCTTTTCATTTCCAGAGTTGCTTTTACCTCCTAGTTGGCTGCAGTGTGTGTGTGTGTGTGTGGGGGGGGGATTTGAATAGGAAATCCTAGAAATAATGCCTAAATTTTAAGTAACCTTTATCCGGTATACTGCTATAACTGTTATCTTTCATTATAGTTAGTACCTTCCTGTGTCTATTTCATGAGGTAAAATTTACCACAGGCATATATGCTAAAGAGCTATGATACAGATGGAGCCACTATGGTTGGGATTTAGAATTTGGTTTAGAGTTTGGCATAGATCTTAAAAGATGGGCAGTAAGGAACTATTGAGGAAGCTGATGGACAAAGAAAGAAATCACAAGAGCTTAAGCATGTCCTCCCTTCTGTCCTACTTCTGGGACATGTCCTGAGTGCAAACATCCCCTCCATTGGTCAAGTACTCTCATGTCTAGCAGTGTAAAGATAATCTCCCAGTCAGATAACTATTACCATTTCTCTTGTCTGCTGACCTGATCCCTAAACTTTCCATGGATCTCTACTACCCAAGGGACAAAGCTGTGGGATCCTTCAAAGACATTCAGATCTACTTCTCTTGCTACATCTGACTGTACCAACCTCTTGCACCATGCATGCATTGCTGACCCAAGTGGTCCACTGTCCCCAACCCTTCCAGGCTTCCCTGTGTCCTCTCTTCTTGGCAGGCTTGCTCACATCCCTCCCCTAGGTCTACTCTAACCCCAGGTTGTCTTTGCTTCTCCTCCAAGCTCTGTTGTACCTAGGGAGTGCACCATGTCCATTAGTCCATTGTACCACCTATACAGCTGGGTCTTTAAGCTCTCTGAGGACCACACTTCTTTCATAATATCCCTCTCCTGTGCCAGATAGGATGAAGAGCCAGCCCGTCACCATCTACAAAGACCTGTGGAACAATGGGCCATCCACCTGGAAAATACTTACTAATAGTAGATATCAAATCTTGAAACCTTTCCTTAGGAAAGAGTGGGTTTTCCAGTCCTCGGAAATACAGTTTTAAAACACCAGCAACTGAATTGATATCTCGCTCATTTTGGTCATCCACGAGGGGGTCTTCACCTGTGTGGAGACAATGTTTTAGGCTGGTGAGGAAAGAGAATCTCTCTCCAATATTAGAAGATACTCTGTTCTCGGATGGAATAGGAGGCGACCTGGCCAGCCTGGACAGGAGGAAAAGAAGATGGATGAGACAAGCCTGAGAATCTGTGACCCTCAGTCTCTACATGTTTTAAATTCCTATTAGAAAATGTTCAAATCCTCAGAAAAGGGATAAGCATTCAATCGAGAATCCCCACTGCCCTTTATTTGCCTCTCTCCTGAGTCTTCTCTTTATTATATGGCTCAAAGATTTGAGAACTTTTGACATCATAATACATTCCTCTCAAGAATCAGGGTATTCTCAGCTAACAATGACAACTTTACCTAGCCCAAGAAAGAGACAATCCATCCAAAAATAACATCGCACACAGCCCACATTCAAACTCCACCCACTATGTCTGCCATGGAATTTTGTTTTCCAAATGTAAGCGATATTCTGAGTTCCCTCAATTCATTTGGTAGTTTCATTTTGTTTTGTTTTGAGACAGGGTTTCTCTGTGTAGCCCTAGCTGGCCTGGAACTAGTCTGTAGACCAGGCTGTCCTTGAACTCACAGAGATCTGCCTGCCTCTGCCTCTTGAGTGCTGGGATTAAAGGAGTACACCATTCTGCCCAGCTGTATTTCCTTTTTGTAACAAACATGAGACTTTGTAACAAACAAAGTGAGATTAGAAGTCCTGTGAGCTCCAGAGAGCCACTTGTCTGGGTTCCCAACACTGGGGTTTCAGAACCCTACTGCTGCTCCTGGTTTCTCCATGGATTCTGGGCATCTGAACTCAGGCCCTCATCCCCTCAGCCCCCAAAAACAGATTTAAAGTTTCTCAGAGAGAAAGCCCATTTTTTTACCCTTTCCTTTCCATCTTACACATCACAATTTTCTTTAGTCTGACTTGTCTGCTGTGTTTCCTTCTACAGCAGATAAGCAAATACATGTACAGTCATCCCTACTCACAAGTTGCACATCCGAGGATTCAACAAAAGCTAATGAAAATATTTTAAAGAAAAGATTGCCTCTGGGGGTTAGGGGGATAGACCACTGGGTGGCTTGCTGCACAGCATGAGCTCCCGCGTTTGATATGTAGCATCCATATACAAAGAGAGATGTGGTAGAGTGTGTGTTATCCAGTACCGAGGAGGGGCAGATGGGAGAATCCCTACAACTCATAGGCAAGCCAGTTTAGCCAATCAGCAAGCTCCAGAATCAGTGAGCAGCTGGGTCTCAAACACATAAGATGAAGAAAGTAAACACTTAATGTTGACTTCTGGCACACACACACACACACACACACACACACACACAAACAAGAAAGAGAGAGAGAGAGAGAGAGAGAGAGAGAGATAACCTGCACTAAATCCATGAGAACTTTTTTTTTGTTTCCCTAAACAACAATTTAACCACCACTTATACCACTTACATGGTGTTTTCATTGTGTTGAGCATCGTGAATCATCTACAGAGGATGGGTGTATGTGCCTACTGTGTGGGGGTCCATAGAAATGCTACATTTCAGAAATGCACTTGAGCACTATTGGTTGTCTGTCTTCTAGGGTGCTTCTTGAGCCAGCACTCTAAAGATGAGAACAGCTGTCTGTGTTCTTTACTGACCCTTACTACTTACACAGAATGTCATTCACTCCTACATAAACTTGTTCCTTAGCTTCAACAACAAATCCTGGAAATCTCTCTATGTTACTTCCCAGAAGCCTTCTCTCTTTCTCATAGTGGTGAAGAACCATGTCACATAGAGAGATCACACTTCACTTGGCCTCTTACAGGTCTACATGGAACTTAATTTTCAAAGTATAATTATTTATTTAGTTATTTGTGTATCTATAACAAAGCACACCCATGGAGGTCAGAGGACACCTTGCAGAAGTCGATTATCTCTACTATACAGAACCCAGGAATCAAACTTGGGGCATTAGACTTAGAAACAAGTGCCTCTATCTACTGAGCTGTACCACCAGCCCCACATTTGACTTCTTTCAGTGTCTTGCTGTGACAAACACTGCCATGGTGAATGCCCTGCATGTGTGCACTTGTATTGTGGAGGCCAGTCTCCTCTATGTTCCTGAAGTGGACACACAGGGTCATCTTGGGTGTGGTTTCTCACCTATACTCAAAGCCCTCTCTTTAGGAGGGAGGGTAACATTTTGTACTCCTGCTAGTGACATCCTCTTGAGAAGGCTGTCTTCTCCAGCTCTGCCCATGGCACACTGCCAGTCTTTTGAATTTTTGTTAGTTGGACCAGGAAATATGGCATTTCAGAGGAGAGGCTCTCTGCAGGGTAACTGGGGGCTGCTAAGCTGGTCTATTACTGGGAATTTTCCTGGGGGAGGTGAAAGCAAGCAGAGAGTAATCTAACACCTTGCTGAAGGTGTTGAGGGAAGTTTGCACTAACAGGCAGAACACCTGTGTGTGTCTGGCAAGCAATGAACAGATCTGGGTACCCAACTGGGATCTCCTTCCTCTGCTTTCAGAGGAAGGGGATATGTATCACTGGCAGTATCATCTAGTCGCAATATGTTTGAGTGCCAACCAGACAAAGTCTCTTTCCATTCTGTACTGGGGCTTGCAGCTTACAGAGCATGAGCCAGAGGACATCCCCCACCTGCCTCCTCAGCAAGTGCCCAACCTGAACGACTGTATGAGGCAGCCCAGGCACTGGTGTTCCCTAGGTTAACCTCTCAGATGGCCCCACCAAGGAGGTAAGAATGTTTCTTCCATAATACTTTCTTATGAGGAAGAACACATTTAAAATAATTGCTTGATTAACATGTTAACTTTCTATATGTGTACATACACAGATATATACATCATGCTTACACAAAAACACACATCATCATCAATTCTTGCCCATCTTCCAGAAGGCACTAAGTTCCTGAATGGAATTGCCCCAACCATCCATGCCTCTGGTCTTCTGCAAGACCAGTCTGTCTGGGACCAGGAATGACAATTCAAAGATCATGAAGATCATGTAGATGGCTTTATCTAGAAAGATAACAAGAGCTAATGTTCCAGGTAAGCCTAATGGAAAGCTATGTCCCACTAATGAATCCAGAGACAGTGCAGTGTGTCTTCCCAAAGAACAAGGCAGCAGGGAGAGGGAGAATCATTTTGGAATGAGGAGAGGTAGAGAGAAATCTACTACAAATATAGAAGAAAATAGGGATTTTTTAAATTCTTTTTTTCTCTTTCTCCTTTTCTTCCTTGCCTTTTTTTCCTTTCTTTGTTCTTCCTTCTTTCTTTTTCTGTGGCTGTGATGTGGGTCAGGAGATCCCTACTAGATGGGGACCCAAGGCTTGAGAAGAGCAGGAAATTCCTTTCACTCACTTGTCATCCCTACAAGGTACCAAAGCAAGTGACAGGAAGTGCTGACCTCAGATGAGAGCTGGGTGAGGATGCCCATTGCCATAAGCTCACCAACAGAGAAAGAGAACAGGGAAATATTGGGGTGAGGTCCTGCCAGGGTGACAGTCCTTTCCAAGGAACTCACCAAGGTAGTCAGTGCAGGACACAGGCAGCTCTATGCGATGGGATGAGCCACAGAGAATGGAAACAGGGAAGGTTCTAGAATAGTGTTCTGTTCATTTACAAAACTGAGGATTGAGGGACTGTGGTGTCAAAAGGAGTAAGGAGTAGATTCTGGTCTGTTTTATCAGTGACATCAGGAGAGGCTGGGGCGATGAAGAATGACACTGACTTCCTGGCCTTTGCACATCTTGTTCCCTTAGCTTGGATGCCTTCCCTTCCCTTGGCTTCCTCTGGGCCCTGTGCATGAAGCCTCAGCTTAGGCACTTCCTCCCTGGAAGCCTCCCCTGACTCTTCTGCACTCTTTCCTCTATCCACTGAGGATCAGGGGCTCCCATAACAACCAGTGCTCACTCCATTCTGGCTCAGACAGGCCATCTTCTTATTAACCTGGTCTCCTCACTTGTAGGGACAGTTACATTGTATTTCCAGGCCCTGGCTATGGTCTTGTACAGTGGAGGATTTGCTGCATGATTGCTGAATGAATTAATGACTGGCAGCTGCTAAAAGCAGCAGTATTGGGGCCTTCTGGGGTTAAATGCCTGACATCCTCAAATGTTCTCCAGAGAAAGAAGCTTCCCTGTCTGCCAGGAGGCCACTGAGCACCACAGCCAGCCAACTCAATACTGGGTTGTACCCTAGACTGTAGAATTCTTCTTCCACCCTGGAGCCAGACATGCTCTATAGTAGAACCAAGGATATGGGAGGCAGAGGTTTCACTCCTCCAAGGAAGATAATAAATGTGGGAACTGGATGGGTGGAAGTCTAATACTCACTTGGAGTTCAGCTGATGGCATTAAACTGTACACTCCTAAACCAAGGAAGCTCACAAAAACAAACAAACAGATAAGAGCATGCCTTCTAACCAGACCTGATGACCTGATAGTTTATGCTTGTAATCTGGGCACTGAGGAAGCTGAAGCAGAAGGATTACAAAAAGATCAAGGCTATGTAGTATGCTCCAGGCTGGCTGAGTATCAAGAAAGGAAAAGAAAAAAAAATGTGTTTTTCTTTCTCACTGTCCACTGGGATGGGATGGGATGGGATGGGATGTGCTGCTGGGACTTGACTCTGGGGTCAGAGTCCTCAGCATCAGAACTACCCAGAGAATAAGAACGTGAGTCAGAATGAGGAGCGTTGTATTACATGTCTTTCCAAAATGGAGTGAAACTGGAAGTGGGATTCAGTGTAGCTTGCCTGCTACTGTGCTCTTCTTCCTGTCCCTGAACTGAGATGCCCAATTGCCAGTGCTAGGCTTGGCTCTAGAACCAAGGATTGAGATGTCTGAATGTGTTTCCTTAAATAAAAAGACCTGGATTTCCAGTTCTACTGTGGCAGTAATATAGGCACTGTGCAGGCAAAGGCAGACATTTGAGAGTTGAGCTTCTTATGGGCAGTGGGTCCTTCCTTTGCAGGGAAACTGTCACTGGCTACCTGTCCTTATCAGCAATTCTGAGGCCAAAGGAGGATGCACTCAGTCAATCACGTGTTCCCATCCTGTCCTTGGAAGGGGACAGGAAAATATATGCTTGATTCCTCCAATTGTCTAAGTTGCCAAACAAAGGAAACACAACCAGTGTATTGAAAAAAACAAAGAATTGGACTATTCTAGAAGCAACTCTTCATCTTCTAACTTTCCTAATAAGTAGGTTCCTTTATTCGTAGAAACATGACAGACTTCTTTCTAGGTTCTTCCTCCCAGACACCACTGCAAAGTCCACTGGGCAGTCACCAGTAAGAAGCTGTAATGAAGGATGAGCATCCTTTGTCCACAGGATGTCAACTTGACCCAGATAGAGTTATTTGGGAAGAGGACCTCAACTGAGAAAATGCCTCCATAAGACCATCCTTAATTAGTGATTAATGTGGGAAGGCCCAGCCCATTGTAGGTGATGCTATCCCTGGAAGGTGATTCCGTGTTGTATAAAAAAGCAGGCTGAGCAAGGAGGCCTCAGCAAGAGGCCTCTATGGCCTCTTCAGTTCTACCTTCAGGTTCCTGCTTTGAGTTTCTGCCCTGATTTCTCCCAATGATGAAGTGTGACCTGAGTCCTAAGTCAGAGTAAACCCTTTCCTCCTCAAGTTGCTTTAGGTCATGGTATTTTATCACAGCAATAAAAACCCTAACTAAGACAACAGGCCCAAGGTGATAGTAGTTCATGATAACCTGGACAACCTGAGACCCTAGCTCAAAACATAATGAAAAGCAGGATGGGGAGATGGCTTAGTTGATGAAATTCTTGCCATATATAAGGACTTGAGTTTGATCCCCTAACTATATCTGTGTAAAAAATAAAGTCAAAAATGCACAAAAATACCAAAAAAATCCAAAAAATAAAAAACCCCAAACCAGTCAGGCACTGTAGTGTGACCTTGAAATGCCAGTACTGAGGAGGTAAGGGCAGTCAGGTTCCTAGGGCTTGCTGGTCAGCTGCCCTATCCTAGTTGGTGAGCTCTAGGCCAGTGAGAGGAACCTTGACTCAAAAACCACGGTGGTAGCACCTGTGGGATGACAGCTCTGACCTCCACAAGCTGTATGCTTTGCACACACACACACACACACACACACACACACACATTCACAAGTGCTTATGTATACCTGTACATACACTTATACTCACACAATCATGTAAACACACACAGTACGTGGAAAGTCCGGCATGAAAACTCACACCTGTAATATCAGCAGTTGGAAACTAGAGACAGGAGTATTAGAAAGAGTTTAAGGCTAGCCTAGACACTATCTCAAAAATAAAATAAATAAAGCAATTAAAAAAATATCAAACACTAAAACGGGTGGAGTCAGAAGCTTTGGGATTTTTTGGTATCTTGAGGTAAGATCAAATATCTACATAAAAATCCACCTGAGTTGCACACACAGTCTGATGGTAATTTGACAAGGTATCATTTGTGTAGCTGCATCTTGGCTACATCTGTCCCATGAAGTCAAGTGTGGAGCTTTCCATTAGTGTTACTTCAACACTCAAATGTTTGGATGTAGAACATGGGGTTAGGAATGCTCAGTATGCAGTAAAATGGAAAGGAAGGAGAACTGGATGCTTAGAGGAAAACTGTTTAAAAAAAAAAAGACTTGGAGTTTACCAATTTCTGTGGTGTAAATACTCCCAATATGGCTGATTTCCAGTACCATCACCATGCCATGGAATACAAAGTTAAGAAGAGTATGAGCATACAGCCCTTGAAAGACACTGTGGGTTCAGGGCCCTTTTGCACTACTGGCTCTGAGACCTATGCTAACTCTGGCTTTTCCTTCCCACAAGCTTGAGATGTTCAGCCCACACTCACCTCTCTCAAAGGAATTCTTGATATCATTGACTTCAACCTGAGACCCTGGAACTCTGAATATCCCCTGTTGCTGGAGTCCTAAAAAAGAAATAACAACACAAGCAAACAACAAATGTAAATAACACCATTCTAGAGTTCATCTGGCTATTGGACTTATTGGAGAGTCTCTCCCATGCTTACCTCTTCCTCCTTCCATGTTTTCTAGTAGCTGTTCCTGGTGACAAGCTCCTAGCTGAAACCCCTTGACAACGAACTACAGCTGGCCCAAACACTCAGACACATGCAGAGTCTCATGTCTGTGAACTTGCTCCTAGGTCTGAAGGAAGATGCTATCAACTATCCTTTCCCGCCCACTTAGCTAAATTTTTGCCTTAAGAAAAGCTAGACTTCCGAGTACATCCTGGCCTGGATTGGGGAAATCAGAGAGTTCAAGGCATATCTCAGTGGCAGAGTGGTTTGTCTCGTGGACACAAGGCCCTGGGTTAGGTCCCCAGCACCAAAAATTATTTAATACAATAAATTGGTAAGCTGGGCAGAATTGCTCATATTATAATCCCAGTATTTTCAAGGCTTGAGGTAGGAGGATTTTACAGAGTTCAAGGACAGCCTGGGATACAAAATAACACCTCTTTCCAAGAAAGGAAAAAGGGAGAGTGTGGACCCAATAGAGTCACACTGTTCTTTGTTCTTCCTTCTTCTTCTTCTTCTTCTTCTTCTTCTTCTTCTTCTTCTTCTTCTTCTTCTTCTTCTTCTTCTTCTTCTCCTTCTCCTTCTTCTTTTTCTTCTTCTTTTTAGAACAAGTTTCTATGGTTTCTATGAGGCGATAGCACAGTGGAACCCTTGACACCTAAGGTGTCCCATAACAATTGCAAATTGCAGGAATCAGAGGGCCTGCCTCTCTCAGATGAAAATTACTGTAGACACCGGGTACCTTTCCCTGTCTCAGTTGTTTTGGGTAGAACAATTCTCCATGCTACAATTTATTGTTTCCCCGTAGAAGTAAAGGTTTAGTGGACATTTAGCATGGACAAGCTATATGTTTTGGTTTTTTTTTGTTTTTGTTTTTTGTTTGTTTGTTTGTTTGTTTTGTCCACTTATTTAAGCCTTTGCCAATGATGTTAGTCACAAGATGGCTAAGGACTGACACAACAGCTTCTAAATCATCTTCATGTGTCATGCTCACTGTTAAACAAGGTATGCACCTGGATATTTAAGTTGTGACATGATTGTGCCCAGGCTAACCTCGAACTTACTAGGTAGCCCAGGTCAGCCTCCAACTCTTGGTGGTCCTTCAGCCTCAGTCTTCCTAATGCTGAGATGACAGGCATATACAACCATGAGTGTAACTTCTACCACTCCACAGTCTTCTCCCATCTTTCTGGGTCATTGCTAACCACCATACTGCCCTTCCTTCTACCTACCGTCCCCCATTCTTCCTACCCCAGCTGCACAGCTGCTCTCCTTGGGGATCTCCCCCCTCTTTAGTCAAGCAGCCTGGTCCCAAAGTCATTATCTATCCTCCTTTTAATTAGTTTCATGGCAGTGTCACTATGAGAAATTACATTATAGGCTACTATATCCATGAGTTACTATATTCAGTGACTCAACTAACAGTTACATCTGTCCTAGACATGTATAGATTACTGTTTTACTAGTCCCCAAACAATATGATTATTTGTTTTTACATAGGATTTGGTCCTATCTGTCTCTCTAGGTGGCTTACTGTCTATGGGAAGATTACATGGGTAATGTGTAAACGCCACAGCATTTTACACAATGGACCTTAGAGTCGGCTGATTTGAAGGTCTGCAGTGGTCCTAGATCTAATACATAGAGATGCTAATGGGTTATTACAATTCTTTTCCTGCTGTTGACTTCCTTGTTCTCAGAATGTTAGCCCTGCAGGAATTATAAGGTGCTTGCCTCTATCGCTCCTTCATTCCTCACAGCCAAAATGGATGCCTATTATGTTTTGAGGTTTAAATACAAGCTGTCTTCTGATAACACCATGGTTAACAAATTCCTGCCACCACTCCCTTCGTGGAGTTTACAGCCTATTAACCCAATTGACTCTGAGTAAAGACAGAGGTGGAATTGCCCTGCTGTCCGTACTATAGTTGCTTCACCATGAGCTAAAATGCTGGGTCCCTCACACAACCTTCCTTCTCTCGCCCTGGACACAGACATGCAGACTCTATGTCTTAGTTCTGAGTAACAGCCATTTCCTGGAGAAGAGCAAGGACAGGAAGTCTTCACTTTCTCCCAGAACAGTCCAGCACCTATTTCACAGTGAACTGAGCACATTGAGCTGCGATGGTGCTTACCATATAAATTGATGAAGCGGATACAGCTCTCCACTACAAGTGGTATAGCTTGTCCTGAATCCTTAAGAAAGAAAAAAAAATGTGAGTTTTATCAGGCTTGGCATCCATAGGCAAAAGATATTGCAAACAAGATGCCCAAGTCAAGCCAGAAGATTAGTATCATGTGATTAGTAGGAAAACAAGCAAGGAACTGCTAAGTCTAGTCTCCAGGAATAGTTACCACACAGCCTTCAGTTAAGTGCAGCAGAAGGCATAGCTAGGATAAATTCAAAGAAATGCTCTCTCTTCTTACCCAGCTGGCAAGGAACTGGGCTCAGCTTGACAGGCACACTGGGGGCAGGAAAGGTGGAAACCAGTGTGGAGTCTGACCTTCAAAGATGACTTGCCTTTTCCCAACTCTGCTTTGCCCAAACTCAGCATCTTTCCCCAGGACTTGGGGACAAAGAGGCCGGATCAATGCCTCTCCCTATTACTGAGGTGTCTCATATCAGAACTGAGAACACATTGTGGGTGAAGAAGGCCTAGCCCTTACAAGCCCTGAGAGGTTCTAAGAAGGGAAGGAATCTTCCCTTCTTATTCAGGTAAATATTTTGCTCAACAGTAGGCATGGTACATGGCGATGCTCTAAAAGATGTTGATATCAGACATTGGCCATCTGGTGGCTTACCTCAATTAAAAAGGCCAAATAGGGCATAATTTAAATAGTTGTATCTAGGATGTGAAAGGACATTCAATTACACCTTTCTAGATTAGTCTACAGTTCCTAGTGGTTGGGCAAGAGTCAGTTTTCTTTCAGGGTTCTAAAAGTAGGTGACCTGTTGTTACTTCAGGTCATAACATGAGTACCATTTACAAGACAGAACAAAACTTTTTTTTTTTTTTTAAACAGGGCCATATTTAACCACTAGTCTACCCAGAAGGCTAATAACTTGGTGGGCTGTTGCCTTTGTCACACCCCCCCCTCCCATCTCTAGAAGGCATTGGATCTACTGGTTGCATAGGGCTTGTGGGCCTAGCTAGTAAATACCTGGTTCCTGGTTCGAGCATTTCTTCTTCCTCTGATAACAAAAAAAGAAACAGGCAGCAAAGCAGGAGAAAAAGAAAAGATTATGCAGGAGTAAGATCAGTTAGAGTATGCAGATCCTTCAGAGTCCGTGAATGCCAAAATGCAATGGCAGCCAGCAATGGTCCTGGGACATTTTCCCAATAGCCTGCCCACGGGGAGGGGCCTCAGCCTTGGAGTCTCCTAGGACTTCTGGGGCAGTCCCCAGCCAGCCTTCCAATAGGCTGCCTAGCCTCTTTCCCAGATATCAGTGATGGAGGGGCCTCTTTCATTCCTTGTCAATTTGTAGGAAATGTGTGTTAATATCCTTCCTGGGTCCATGTCTAGTTTCTCTTCAACACCAGGGATCCACCAATGAGCAAGAGTCCACTGAAGACCTACAAGGCTAGCCCATCTGCTCACAGAAGGGATCCTTCATGTCTATTGTAAGCTGCTTCCTAGAATTCATCTCTGGAATCCTCATTTTCAGACAGATGCTCTACTTTACAAGATCTGCTTAGACAGGATACAGCAGGGTATACCAGATTCCAGACTCCAAACACACCCAACACCTTGATAACCTTCTCTGTGTGGAAGAATGACTCTGCTCTCCTTCCCAACCTCTTACTGTCACCCTGGCACTGAGACCCTCCTGGAACACAGAAGCTGGGAAGGATGAAGTTGAGGGTATACTGACGCCTTTGTCTCCACCTTGAGAGAGCCTACCTGACGTTTCTGGTTCTGTGGGCAGTGACTCAAGCGTCTAAGTGGGAGCTGAGTCTCACTCTCACCCAAGTTCAGTGAAGAAGCCAAGCTGATTAAGATACATGTGCCTTCCTGAGGGACAGTATTCCAATCCTGCCATCTCAACAATTGGGATTTGAGTTGCTATGATGTCAGCTAAACTCACATGACTTCCAGAACCCAACAATAGCCTGGTCCAAAGGACTCTTGAGATGGTGTCCTAAAATTAATAATAGACCAGGCTTAAATAGTGCCAGGAGTGTTCTAGAAACATACATGAAGCAGCTCATTCTATGCTCTCCTAAACTCACAGGGCAGAAGATCACTCTCATTTCATGGAGGCAAGACAGGGACTCTCTACCCATCCCACAGGCGGGCCTTCTGGGCTTTGTGGTGGACATAAATGGAGTCTCCTTAAGTTTGAGAGGAGAAAAACACCAAGTTTTTGGTTTTTTATAAGGGGTTGGCTCACAAGAGTCAGGGAGGCTCCTAAGTCTGGCTCCACAAACATTTCCTTATAATTAACTTGGAGCTTCTCTTTTTGTCCGGCTGAGGCATCATGATCACAGCAACACGGTGGGATTGTTTGACCAAAAATCCTTTCCTAGACCTGGATTTTCAAAGCTGAGGACTCCATTGTATAGTCAGACAGTGTGAGGATTAGAATAGAAACTTCAGTTCTACTCTTGCCAGTTGAAGGAGGAGTAACTACAGATGCTGCCTTTCACTCTCTGGACTCTGGAATCCTTTAGAGTATGTCTGTGCCATGTGGAGCTTTGTGATGCTCACAGTAGGTCCAGAGCTGAAGGTGTTGAGCTTCACTGATAGGAGGAAGCCCAAGTGCAGAAGGAGCATAAAGACATGCTGTTGTGTTTCACAGCCTGCCTGCTCTTCCCTAGCCAAATGGCTATTAACCCTTCAAGTACTCTGACATCCACCCCAGTTTCCACCTCAACAGAGCTGGGTTGTCCCTCTTTGGACGTTTTTCTCAGGGCCAGCTGACCAGTGTCACTGTACCATACTTCCTCTTGCCATTTTGTACCTCCAGTAGTACCACACAGCTGAGCTACTGAAGCTTGTGTGTGACATAGTGATGGTGACAAGAGAGTGTTCGTGTGTGTGTGTGTGTGTGTGTGTGTGTGTGTGCACGCGCGCGTGCGCGCGCGCTCATGTGGCCAAAGCTCAATCCCGTATGTCATTCCTCAGACACCAGCCACCTTCAGTTTGAACTCTCCAATTAAGCTAGGCTTGCTGGCCAAGGAGCTACTGGCATTTATCTGATTCCCTAGTGCTAGGATTCCAAGTGTGCGCCACTATTCCCAGCTTTTTAACACAGGTTGTAGAGATTGAACTCATGTCCTCATGCTTGCATGATGCACCTTGTAATTACGATGTCATCACCTGCGCCGTGTGGAGGTTATAATTCTGGTGGACCAAAGTATCCAATCTAACAGGAAGTTTTGGAACCAAAGATAAAGGCTATGCAACAGGCTCTAGAGATGGTTAGCCAAAACACCATAGGGGGCATGGTGATGTAGAAGAATAGTAAGATGGCTTCCCAAAGTAACCCACTGATGGGGCAAACAAACACTCATGGAGTTGAACAAGGTCTAAAGTGTTGGCCGGGTGTACAGTCAAGTTGCACTAGAAAGATATTCATTTCCACTGAAGATGTGGCTTTCAAATAGTGTCAAATGAGAGTCAGTTCCTTCCAAGTATACTAACTGATCTCTCATTTCCCAAGATCAGAGAGACTCAGGGGAGGAGTCCCCATCTCAGATCTCATTGCATCTTTCCCTCCTTCAGGGACTCCCGTCCTGCTCCTCTCTTATCTTTCCCCATCCTTTCAAGCCCCTGGCAAGGCAACCTGGGCCCCAGCTCACAGCTCTTCTTGCTCTGAATTGCAACAGCATGTTCCTGTAGGACTTCCCATGTGCCCTGCCTTTGCAGCCTGGGGAGTAGCTCAGCCAGAAGCAAGGGTGAGTGAGAAGGAAGTACAGGGGAAGACAGGGCTGATAGAAACAAAGCACTCTTTTGACATAGCCCCACCTGCCATGACCCACTGAGCGGCTCCCAGTGAGTCACACAGTTCCCGGGGGACCTCTAATTCGGGGCCTTCGTTCCTATGAAGTATCCTAAGGCACCCCCCATTGTCCTTGTTCAGGGGAAATCCCTCCTTCTCTCTCTAGCTCTTCTGTTCTGTTCTGAGAACTCAGTCTATAGGCAGAGGTAGTCCTTTGACCTAGGGTCCTGCTTACCAGACCTATCCACGAGGCTGACATCTGCATGTCTGTAGCCCTTCTCTGTCCTCCAGGTCTAGCAGCACCCTGCCAGAGGACAGAGCTGGCGTATGGGACAGCTCCTGTAACTCCAAAATCATTACTGATGCCACAAGACTATACCCTTCCTTCCCCTGACCTTTATCAGTCCCCTTTTCTGCAGCAATGGTCTTTATTGGCTGGTGGTGGGCTTTCAAATAACTGGCGAAGACCTCCCTTCTCTTTTCCCAAGAACACATCCTGACTCTAACACCATTTTTGCATTGTTCCGTTTGATCCTGGATGCCTTGATCTTACACCCACTGGGGGTGGGGACAGGAAAAATAAGCTCACTTAGCTAAAACACTTAAATTTTTAACTTAAGCTCAATGTCAAGGGTTAACCTGACATTTAGAAGGACTACCTCCACCCTACTCCCACATCTCAAGTCAACCACCAAAAGCTAAATTAAGTGGAAGGAACTCTTCTTATGAAAACACTACGGCTCCCATGCTAATAGATACGTAGTTAACAAACTGTAGTTGCCGTGTGTAGAAACCCATAGGGGCTGTTTTTGTGCTGTTCTCAATCAGCCTCCTACTGCAGGAGGAGGGGGTGAAACCGAGTAATAGGGTTTCCTCAACTGCCCTTCTGGTGTTAGGACTGCAGCTCCTGCATCAATGACTTCAGCTGGCTGGGACCACTGTGGTGACAGCCCACCTCTTTTCTGCTGGAGTCATCAGACCCCTCCCCATACAACTGAGAACAATGAGTGGCCACTTAGAGGCCATTAGACAGAAGCAGAATTCTCCAATGGAATGCCTCATTGAAGCCAAGAATAGATCACAGTGAGAAGCTAGCTCTGTGGGACCTGGCTAAGAGGTTGACAGAGCTGTTAGCTGGAAGGGACAGGGAGAAGAGAGGCTGCCATTACTTTGGACTCATTCGCGGACTCCATGGCTCCCCAGCAAGTACCTTAATGAACGCTTCCATACTGCCGTTAAAGAGTTTATGGCTATACACTGAAAGAGGCCTAGGTCTCCTCATTTTCTGTGGTTTAGGGGGAAGACAGGGGGGCCTAGGGGAAAATGGAACAAAAGAAATCAAGAAAGCAACCAACATAAACATACCACTGGGAGAGGTGCTCTTCAAACCCACAACTGGAGCAAAATACAAAACACAGCGGGGAGCCTCTGGCCCCCAAAACACTGGTTTTCCATGTTCCATCTGAAGGCCTCTGGATGTTTTAGATCTTAGTTTATCCACAATGCCAAGCAGGAGCAACTCTCACAAAACACATATGCTTTCTACATTATGGGGAATGAGATGACTCCAAGAAGGCCCCTGCAATGTCAATCAGAGGCTGACATCTTGCAGATCAGATGGGGGGGGGTCAGGAGTGGGAGGTGTCATCTGTAGCCCAAGAAAGCAAGAGACTTTCAAACATAACCAAGAGGGTTAACTTTCATAATTTTGGCTTAAATCTATCACTAAGGCCCAATTCCCAATATACTGGGGGGCACTGTCTTCCTAATGCCTCCTGGCATTTCAAAGACATATGACTCATGTTTATTGCATAGATCTGAGAGCCAGACAGCTAGATGCCAGGAGGCAAGCTGCAGCTTCTTTAGGATCCGTAGGTGGTCTGGGATGTTATTATCCCACTCATCAATCAAGTACATTTTTGATTGGAGCACTGTCAAATCCATTATCACACTTAACCCAGTATCTTCCCATTACACATTTACAGAAATTAAGGCCCAGAGAGAGCATCAGTCAGACCCACCTCTATCCCACTTCCTCTCCAAATCCAGTTTTTTGGAGGGGCTTTGTTTTGTTTTGTTTTGTTTTTATTTCAAGTCATAGGCATGGCACTGGGACATCTTGTCATTTTAAACTGCAGACTCATTTGCCCTATCAGTCCTTGTCACAGGGGTCAAGTTGAAAGTGTCTTGCTTTGCTTTCAGATCTCCGTTCCCTGTGTTCTGCTGTTATCCACAGGGAGGGGAAACCTCATACCACAGTCCACCAGGAACAATGAAATGGCCACAGACACTAGACCCATGTTCATAGTTGCTCACCATGCATAAGCCTGGGTTGGCTTATTTGCTCATTTCACTACATACACTGGCCTGATTCACTGCTGCTGGCCTTTAGGGAAACATTAGGAGGAAGCACCCTTACCAAACAAGGCAGCTCATTCTCAAATGGTTTGGTTCAAACTTTGGAAGCAACAAGCACATACTCAGCCAGGCAGAAATATTTCTATATGAGACATAAAGATTTGCCCCTTCCCCAAGTCTGGATTGATTTCTGTATATGGGCAAGAATCTTGTTTGCTTGTTTGTTTCTGAGACAGGATCTCATGTAGTGCAGGGTGGCTTCTAACTTGCTATGTAGCCAAGTTCCACTTCATATTCCTGATCCCCCGCCTCAGTGTTAGAATTATAGGCATGCACCTCCACGTGGGTTTTATGTGGTGCTAGCAATTGAACTCAGGTTCTCATGCATGCTAAGCAAGCATTCTACTAACTAAGGTACATACCCAGCCCACAGGGAAGAATAATATGGACTGTGGAACCAATCAAGATGAATGAGGGCTGCCCTGCCTCTCTCCCATGGGTTTATTGCACTCATGTCCTTTAGCAATCCAGCCATGCAAGACACTTTAGCCAAGTCCTCCTGGATATTTAAGTGTTGAGCAAAGGCTGCAAACTCCAGGACATGCATGGGCAAAGACAAGTTGAGTCCAAACAGCATGCCACCCAATCAAGGAAAAAAACAAAAACAAAAACAAAACAAAACAAAACAAAACAAAACAAAACAAAACAAAAAAAACCCCAGCACAACAAGCAAGATTATCTCCAGCCCATCTTGGAGCTGTGTGAATTTGGTTAGCTAAGTCCATGTCATTTTCTTTAAAAATATATTACAACTTTTTTGAGGATGTGTGAAAACAGGGAGGGGGAATCTCATACAACGGATATGCTTTTGTGTTTTCAAATGTAAAAGACAAAAGAAATTTTGTAAAAAAATGTGACACAAAGCCATAGGATGCAAATTTAGGGATTAAGGATAAGGAGGATAGCAATGTCGCCATTTGTTTTTGTAGTACTTTGAACTCCAGGGTCACTTCTTTATCTCGCATGGCATGATTAGCCTCCTCAGGAGCCTGCGAGGCAAAGGAGCCCACAAGAGATTGAGAAATTTGCCCAAGGCCACCCAAACGGGATCCATCAGGAGCTGGGAGTCAATGCAGTTCCCCAAATCTGATAAAGACACAGAATCAAAGCTCTAGGGCACCCAGTTGGGGGGTTTTCATAAGAGAACTCATAAGGGTTTTGTTTTTTAATATTTTGCAGAGTAAAATAAAAGGAAATAAGCGTAGAGTATGCTTCCCCATTTTCCCAGCCAAATCCAGAGTGTAAAAGAAAATGAAGTCATAATGGCATAATGTGCCCCCCCCCACGTGATGCATTGGGTTCTGCCTGGGGTCTCTGACAAGGAAACATAGCTATCCCAACTTTGAACAACATCAAATCTGTATCAACTTACGGGAATGCTGGGTGGGGCACAAAGTGGGGAGCAGGGGGACAGCTCAGCCAAGGAAAGTGGGGCAGCCTAAGCCTTCCATCTCTTCTGCCGCTCAGATGCAGAGCAAAAGGGAAAAAAAGGAAGAAAGAGAGAAGCCGGGAAGACAGGAACAGAGAAGGCCACAGAGGGTAGGGAAAGGAAGCCAGAGACCAATGTCCCCTTTCTGTCTTTCAGCTGGGATGAAAATTAGCATATGCTGGCAACACAGGCATGGCCTCAGAATCAGTCTGTGACCAAAAGCAAGTGATTAAGAATTTCCCTAAACATTCCAACAGATGGGGGTACCACACTGATGTTCAAGGGCAGGTGGGCTCTTAGAAGCTGGGGTCGAATATGCCCTGAGTTGCATCTGATTGGTCATAGCATCGACTAGTTCTCCTCTAATCAGGACTGGAGACTCTTATCAACCTGGTTAAGGAGGCCAACCCCTCTTCAAATCATCACGATTAACAACTGGTGTTTGCACCCCACTTTACAATTGTTAGCAATTCTTCAAAATATATTAGCACATATGGTCAGCCTAAGTCCTAGCACTATGTGAACTGAGGCCATTCAAAGGTACAGACGCTTTAACGTGAGAAAAGGGCCATTTGGACAAGGCTTGGCTGAGGGTATCTGCTCTGATGATGGTCCCGCATGACTTGACTGTGTGAGAATCTACAGTTGGCACAGCCAAGATGTGGAGACATCACCCAGGACCTCTAAGATTCATTTTTAAACCACTCTCAGGTTGACAAAGAGGCCCATAAGTTTAATAATGAGCCAGAAAGTATCTGACTAGGTCTGAAATTTAGGACAGGATGCCTAAGTGGGTCATCTAACAACCTGAACTTGGATTTTCTAGGCCCTAGGCCAAAGCAGGTGAGGAAGACAGTATTTCAGAGGCATTTGTTAAAGAAAAAAAGGGGAAGTAAGCCGTGGCCCAACTCATCTCACTTTGGTATAAAAAGGGTTTCTGTCCTTTTAGGACTATAGTAACATTCTTCTACCAGAAAAAAAAAAAAAAAAAAAAAGTAACAAATTTGGGTTCTTCAAAAGTGACCTGCACATCGGCTGTCCCACATGTGGGAGGGTCCTTGCCTGTGAGTCATCTGGGAGTTCCCAAACTGCCTGGGCCCAGAGGAATAGCTGGATTCCTGGAAAGCCCTGAATCTCCAAATCCAACATATTAAAATCCACAGCTTCCCAAGCCATTGCCACGCCTACTCATTTCCCCAAGAGCAGGGGAGAGTTGAAGGGTCATTTTCATTCTTGCCAAGTAGGCCAGCTTTTCAGTTTTCCGAGCCATTGGGAAGAATTGGTTTGGAAGGAAAGAATGCCATTGGGTCACAAAGCCCCACTGAGTGAGGTAAAAAGTAACTCCCAACTAGAAAGTAGCCACACATGATAGAGGGCAGACCTCTGGACCACTGCTAGACAGGGTGAGAAAACTCAGACACCAGGGCAGTGCTGGCTGCTTAGGCATCTACAGCCTATGGAAGGCTGACAGCTGCTGAGTGAAAGTGTCCACTGGCTCTGGTGTGCTAGGGAAAGCACAAAGGGAGATGCGCGGAAGGAGCTAGAAGGAAGCATGAATAGCTTATATGACTGGCCTCACCAGTCCATCCAATTTCCCACTGAACTTCAAGCCAAAGTATGATGGGCAGTGCAGGGGGGGAGCAGGTAATCTGGGCACACGTCCATGTGTATGCAGCATGCACCTGGCCATCTGTACACAATATCAGCCAACCACAAAGCCTTGGCAACTGAGGATCCAGGCTGGACCTGGATCACCTATAGGGCAGTTTGGGCAGTGGCCATGTAACAGATTCAAGGTAAGAAAACAACCATCCTACAGCCTTGTGGCCTCTGCTAGTGCCTTTAGAGCCACCCTGGAATTAACTACCCTCCCACTGAATAGGACATATCCCACTCCCCTGAAGCAGTTATGAAAACTACCTCCCTGTGGCCAGCCTGCCAGAGCATAGCTTCACCAGCCTAAAGCAAAAACAAGTAATGTCGCCTCGGTAGACACTGTACCCTCCCCACCACCCTAAAGCCCCCAAAGGTGGTGAAAACTATCCAGCTTCCCTAGTTCTCAAGAGACCATCTTTATCCTACACACCTACCCACCCACCACACCCTCTCAGACTTCAGGCAGCCAGTACAAGGACACGAGACTCCCCAACTCTCACCTGGTTGTGCCGCACTCTGCTCTCTCCCCTGGGGAAAGAAAACAAAATTGCATGTTGATGTTTAGTTGGCTTCAGCTGTTGTCTTAACCAGTGAACTTTCTTTCCCTTAAAACAACAACAATATCAGAAAGACCTAACGTGCCAATCTACAGTCATTCTTTATTCCTGCCTCCTTCCCTAGGCAACTGCTAATCTCTGTGTCTCTGCAAGTTTGATAGGCATTTCTAGAAAGAGAATCACCCTCCTTGTGGTTTCACTCCTGAATCTGGCTTCTTTAGCTTACCATAAATTTGTCTGTGGTTCATCCATGCATCGTGATTTAGTAGTTCATTTGTTTTTAGGGTTGAATAATATTCCATGGTGTAAACAGACTACAGTTTCCTTACCCACTTTTCAATAACTACCTGTTGTATAACAGGTTCCTTCAAGCTTGAAGCATTCTATACTGCAGGGAAGCTCCTTCAGCAGGATGGTGAACAACTCAAAGTAGCTTCAGGAAGTCTCTGAAACTGAGCAGATTCACTAGGCCCCTCCCTGCCAGAGTAAATATAAAAGCTGAGAACCCCTCTTAGACTGGAAGCCAACCTACAAAGAATATTTGATTGAGACTATACCAGCTTCCTTGAAGAAGCAAAAACCAACAGAAGTCCCTGGAAGAGGTTTAGACCAACTGAGACGCCTAGAAAGGGCACTCTAACTTGTTGAGCTGCCTGAAGGCTGTACAGTAGGCTCTAGATTCCCAGCTTTGTGACCTGTTACCCAAGCTGGGGTGATGCAGCTGTCTTTGAGTAATTCTTGCTCCTGTAAGTAACCCCTCACCCACATTCCTGTTAGTAACCCCAATAAAACTCAGGATTCACCAAGTTGGACTTTGGTCTGCCATGGTAGCCCTATATGAGTTGAGTCACACAACACTGCCCCCCCCAAAGATCTCATACTTTAAATATTCCCCAAAAATATTCTTCCCATGTCCCCAAACTATTCCCATCCAAGTCTTCAGCATTTCCATAAGTGGACCACCACCTGGACACTTCAGTTGAAAGTCAGAGAATGGCTCTCCAGAGCCGTCTGTCCTTAACTTCAATGGCCCTCCATCTCAGCACTGCCACCTCAGCCTAGGTTCCCATCATCTCTAGCTGGAGTACTTACTTTTTAAGTGGAGTTCCTATTTCACTCCAATCTAGTCACAATTCATCAGTCACAGAAATAGCTTTAAACAGAGTATGTCACATGTCCTGCTTGCTTTCTAGAGCCCCCTGTCACATGTGGAATAGAATACAAGCCTCATGCTCTGTATCCATAAGCCCTTCAAGCTATTGTTACAATGTGCATAGACTCCTTCCTCCTTTGGCCTTGAATCTCCTGCCACAGAGTCTTTCCACTAGGCCCCTAGCCTATTTGGGGGGCTTGTCTTGTCCCTAACACTTGTAGGACTGCCTCTTGCTAGCCTTTTGCATCCCAGCTGAAAAAGGGGATCCAGAGTAGAGCTTCCTCCACCTGAAGTAGACAAGGGTTGCACAGTCATTGACCACAGCTTCTCTTGTTTGCTGACAGCCTATTGTCATTAAAGAAGCACCATGTTCTATGAGAGCCTCACATCTGTTCATCTGGAGATGTGGTGAAGAACAGATCTCATGTAGCCCAGGCTGTCCTTGATCTCACTATACAGCTGCCACCGGCCTTGGACTCCTAACCCTTCTACTTTCACTTTCCAGGTGCTAGGTTACAGGTGTGCACCATGTCTATTCTTTCTTAAAACTCCCTAAGACTTAGGAGATGGCTGAGTTGGTGAAAGTGCTTGTTGCAGAAACATGAGAACCTGAGTCCAGATTCCCAGCACCCACTTAAAAGCTAGGTATGGCAGCATGTGTGTATCCGGAGCCCCAGCATCAGGGGATAGATACTGGGGGCCCATGAGCCAGCCTAACAAACAGCAGACTCCAGGTTCAATGACAGATTCTGTCTCAAAACAGAAGTGGAGAACAAGTGAAATAAAGCACATTATGTTGGACTCTGGCTTCCAAATGCAAAGCCAAATGTACCTGTACACACATATGTACACACACACACACACACACACCATGCTAAATACCTAGGTTTTGAATATTGTTTGGCACTAAGTATGAACTCAATAAATATTTATTGAATGGTTAAGTGAAGGAAAAACTACCTTCAAGATGTTCCCTGATAAGTGGCCATAATAGCCTACAAACAAGTATACCCTGCAATAGGGTAACGAGTGTCACAATACCAGTGTACACAGAATACCACCTGGAACAACATACAAGCAAAAAGACCAGAGCAGACAGAGTGACTGGCTCCAGTCACTGCTTTAAGGGCAGCTTAGATTCCAACCTAGGTCGTCTGACTTTACATCTGCCAACCTGGTTCCATCCATACACACAGGTGAGGGAAAGCTGATATTTGCAGTAGAATTTGACTCAAACCCAATGACTTCTAAAGGCGGTACTTGGCCTTTAATAGTATCCCTTCCTTCTGGGCTACAGAGATACCTCACCTTAGAAGATGCTCCCCAGGCAGGAATGGAGTGCACAAAATAAGGAGATAAACAGCATCTCCTCCCACAAAACTGTACTGACAATGCAGAGGTTCAAGTCCTCATATTAAATTTTATCAAGTCACTGTGTGATCCTGCACTACTCTCTGTCTTTCTTTGGGCTGTGACATCCCCAGTTACACCATTTATCCATCAGGGCACTGTGGGTGCTCACATTCATTATCCATCCAGGCACTGTGGACGCTCACATCTGTTACTCATCCAGGCACTGTGGATGCTCACATCCACAAGTTTCACTTGCTGAAAATTCCTGTCTACAGATGACCCAGGTATCACAAGGTCATCATGGTGTAACACATTCTCACACTGGCAGTGACACTGAAGTAAACACTGGTGTAAACATGCTTACTACCCCGTCCTTCTTATAAACTTACATATAACATGTAACACTTGGTATTGATAAGCGATTATCTACTATTTGTGCTATTTTAGAGAGCACTATTTCTACTCCTAAAAACACAGATTTACTGTGACCCAGTATGGTGTGTTATACAGGCAGCAACCTTGTCTTGTGCTTTCTGTATCTCCTGATTGCATCATTCTCTCTTGTACTCAATTTAATCTCTTGCTATGATCTCACACATGCATCATATGGCATAAGGGTGTAGCCAGCCTTGATTTGTGTCAGAACTGCTTGTGACATTTATAAAGTGATGAAATTGCCTAATGTGTTTCATCATTACATAATGCCTGCATGCAGTTGGCTGACAGCATGATCCAGGTGTAGCCCTTCCCTGTGAGGATGGGATCCCATCTGTCTGTGTGTCGTGGCACCCTCCTCCAGCCCTGCCAGAGTCTGTACTTCTGGATATAAGAGAGACAGCTGGGGGCAGGGAGGAGTTAGAAATTGAAGGTTTAAGGCATGGCCTTGGATGCCAAAACACAGTCAAGGCAGACCCTCCCCTAACTTTCAGCTTTCCACCTGCATCCTAGCTCTCTAGAAACCCACTGGCAACAGCTTTAGGAATGTGGATTGTCACTTCTAACACATATCAGAAAAGTTTATTTTTAAAGTATTGTAATTAACCTTCAGGGACCTGTTGGGGGTTTTTAAACATATTATAAAATACAGTTGGTACCTGAATCTTGGGGGCTGTTTAGTTCTATAATAGGCCATTACACTTGAGCTTATGTTCCATCTCTGTAACAGATAATAAATACTCGAAGGCCTTAGGCAAAGTGGAAATGGGCGAGCACCTCAGGTAGTAACACTGGAACTTCCAGAACACCCATGGCCAGAATGACAGGGAAGCCACAGGAAAAAGACTCAGTGACAACAACAAACTGAATTCTCTGGGCAATAAAATGACTACCACACAGCCAGTGTCAGACTGGGAGTGTGTGCTCCCGAGAACAGTGATAGCAATCTGATGGCTACCTAGCAGCCTTTTTTAAAGTATTTGTAAATGAAAGTGACCAGGGAGGATTTGTGCTTCTTTTAACTGACAGGCTCCTTGAGTCACACTGTCAAAGGACTGCTTTGAAGAAACAGGTATATGAGACCATTAAAACAAAACAAAAACACAAACAAACAAATAAAAACCCAGCTTGAATCCTTTTGAATATTCCCTGGGGACCATATTTCCTCATTTGTTTTTAATGTTTTCGTGTTATCCCTGTCAACTTGAAATGGCTCTCTGATAACAGGAGAGGACCAGTGATGGGGCATTGAAATGGCTCTCTGACAACAGGAGAGGACCAGTGATGGGACATTGAAATGGCTCTCTGACAACAGGAGAGGACCAGTGATGGGGCATTGAAATGGCTCTCTGATAACAGGAGAGGACCAGTGATGGGACATTGAAATAGCTCTCTGACAACAGGAGAGGACCAGTGATGGGGCATTGAAATGGCTCTCTGATAACAGGAGAGGACCAGTGATGGGGCATTGAAATAGCTCTCTGATAACAGGAGAGGACCAGTGATGGGACACAACCACACACTGAGGCTGTACTTAGACAGTGATCTACTGAGTGAAGAATCAAACTGCCCAGGTGGGGGTAAGGTGATGCCAGCATTAAAATTTAGAATAGGCCTGCCATGGTGGCACATGCCTTTAATCCCAGCACTAGGGAGGCAGAGGCAGGTAGAGCTCTGTAAATTCAAGGCCAGCTTAGTCTACACAGCAAGCAAGCTCCAGGCCATCCAGAGCTATGTAGTGAGATCCTGTCTCAAAAAAAAAAAAAAAAAAAAAAACCAAAACAAAAAAAAACTTAGAAGAGTGGATTTGATAATGTACTGAGCTCTAGCTGCCCTGTTTAGCTCAAATTCTCCTGATCTCTATAGGACTGAACCCTACCATGTATGTCTTTTTCTTCTCTGGACCTAGAACCTTGGTGAGGCCCGCCAATAGTTACCCTGGTGTGTGCTGAGAAACAGTGGTCCCTGTGTCCTTGGATTCCCACCTCCTATGTATGGGGACACCCCCCCCCTTGGTCTTGCCCTTTCTTGCAGCCATACAGGACTGACTTCAGCCCCTGTACCAAGGTGATTTTCCAGGCCTTCCTAGTGAAGGTATAAGCATCAGGTCCTTCCCTGCCCGGTACTGGGTATCTTGACCTGAAGTGGCTCAGCGGCTCCACCACACAGCAGTCCCCCTTGGGCTCTCACCCACCCAACTCACCTTCACCCAGTGTCTGCTTGAGTAAGTCATGCTTGGCTTGCAACTTGGTGATGAGGTTACTGCCATTCACATATTCTTTAAATTTCTGTAAAACATACAAGCATAAGGAAATTAAAGGGCACACAACCCAGTGATGATAGGGTCTCTGACTCTAATCCCACCTCCCCCCCCCCCACCTAGCAGGGAAGCCAGGACCTGATAATGAGGACAGGCAGGACTTTGCGCCTGCTTTGAGCTATTCCAAGTGGCTGTCTAATTATTGGGAGTTCCCTGGTCATGTAGGTTGGGTTGGGCACATAAGAGGCAGGGGTATTTGGCCGCAGTGGAGGCTGCTGCTGCAGTGAGAACTGTGGGCAGCACAAGACACAGGGCCCGTTGGTCACCAAATCTCTACTGTGCTTCTGGGACCAGAGCAATAAAGAAGAGAGTCATGCAAAGTCCTGCAGCCAAGGTCAAGAGCTACCAGAGCAAAGCTAAAGATGAGCCTTTCTTCCAAATGAGAAAGGGCTGTGCAGGCCACTGAGAAACCTTGTATCACTGCACTGGGGGACATGATTTTCTGGGTGGACGAGATAAAGAAGGGTGTATAGAAAGTGCTTTGTCACAAATAGAAGATATAGATATAGATAGATAGATAGATAGATAGATAGATAGATAGATAGGAACCTCTCCATGATCTTGGAGGGCTAATGAAAAAAGCATAATCATGTTTGTACATACACAGACAGAGAGAGATGGGGAGGGAGAGGGAAAAGAAGAAGGAGAGAGAGAGAGAGAGAGAGAGAGAGAGAGAGAGAGAGAGAGGGAGAGAGAGAGAGAGAGAAGAACCTCTCCATGGTCTTGTAGGGCTAATGGAGAAAGTATGGTCATACTTGTACACACACACACACACACACACACACACACACGCACGCACGCACACACACGCACACGCACACACACACACACGCACACGCGCACACACACACACACACACACACACGCACACGCACACGCACACACAGAGGGGGGGCCCTCTCCATGATCTTGGAGGACTAATGGAGAAAGCTTGATCATACTTATTCAAAGGAAACAGAAGCCCAGAGTTGGGCTCCTTGCTGTGCAGGAATAGAGCCCTGCCCATTTCTAGCTCCCCATTAGCTCCTTGAGGTAAGCTGACAGTAGACTTAGGATGTCTCTCCAAATGTGCAGCAGAGAATCAGCACCCTCATCACCAGTTGGGAAGACTATTAACATGTGAATTTCCTTTTCATGACACCTCAAATCTAACCCTTCATTTCTCACTTGGGGAGGATTCACCGGGGCCTTAAGCTTCCAAGTTTCAGAGCCCTGCTGAAGAAACGAAGCACTTGAATTTTAACTGAGTGCCTGGCTCTGGGTAGTGCACACCTCTGCTTCAGTCAGTAAGTATTGACTTATAGGCTGGAGGTGAAGACTTCTAACAATACCATCCTCTGATTTCATCACGTCTAAGAATTAATAAAAACCAGAGGTGAGGTGTACACATAAAAGGTTAATCATGCCTGAAGTTGTTTTCTGAACTCCGGAAAACAAACAACTAACTACACACACACACACACACACACTTGCATGCACACATATCAATATGTATATAAAGCATATAAATATATGCACACAAATAAAAGAAAAAATGTAACATCTTCTGATCCTTGGTCAAAGACACTAGATTTCTTTAAATATAAACAGGCTGTGCCCCTTCCTCTGCTTCTGCTTCCCAGATTTTGTTGTACTGCTGAAGTGACTTTCTATTCATCCCCATCTGCACTTCCTACCCCCTGGAGACAAAAACTCCTCTAATAGAAGTAGTAGATGCCAAAAGTCATGAAGACTAGCTTTGTTTTCTTTCTTGACAAGGTCAAAGGGTATTGAAGTATATGTCAATTATTGGACTGTAGCTGGGTTTTGATTACAGCTTACCAATTATAGCATTGGGTTGATTTGTGACAGATTCTGTGAGTATAACCCAGTCAATATCAGCCTAGCTGTGTGTCTCTGGTGACCTTGGCAGTAGCCTGGCCCAGCCATCACATTTTCTTATTAGCAAACTTTAAGGTAATAGAGGCCATGCTCCATGAATCTGCCTATCATACAAGATCTGAGAAGGGCATAGGCGTCCAGTGATTAGGTTAGGATGTTGACAATCTGGACCTGTCTTGACTCCATCAAGAGGACAGCTCAGTGAAGACCTCCCTGCATGTTTACCTACAGGGCCTTTAAGAGGAGGGAGACAAGGCTGCATACAGAAAAGAGTTAGCTGACACCACCTTAGCTTAAAAATAAAACAAGAGCCAGGTGTGGTAATGCATGTCTTCAGAGAGTTTTGTTGTAGGCATTCAAAGAGACAGTATTCAGGAGGGGGTACTAGGGTGTTGAGGCTGCTTGGAACCAAAGCTTGAAGGTAGGGTTACAAGAATCAGAGCATTTAGCCTGGAGAAAGTAAGCCCCAGATTTCTAAAGTCAGGGAAAGGCTGTCAGCTTCACTCTGGTCACCAAAGAAAACAGCATCAAGACCAATGGCCAGGAATCCCAGGGTAACAGATTTCCCAAAGATAACAAAAGAAAGCTCCAGCCACAACTTAGCAGGAGAGCTATTTGGGTGAAGGGGAGCTTTTCACTCTGGGCATTTGAGCAGAGTCTCTATGAACTTTTTGTGGTATGTGCACCAGATGGAAGGTAATTCCCTTACAGCCCCAATCTCCATGTTCAATAAGCCTAATTTGAACTAAAGCTTCAATTCCCCTTCCCCACTTTCCTCCTGGCCCCTGGCCCCTAGCCAAAATGGAGGCCTGAAACCTGGGATTTTACAGGAGGGACTAGCAACTCCTGAATAACTTGCTTGCAATGCTGAGGTCCTCGTTTTTAAAGCTTAGTCACCAATTTAAGACAAAAGCAGTCACATAACTCTAGGTTGTTACCTGACTCCTTCACTGTGTTCCTTTAACCCGGCGGTTGGCAATCTTCCTAATGCTGTGACCCTTTAATACAGTTCATGTTGTGGTGACCTCTAACTATAAAATATTTCCATTGCTACTTCATAACTGTAATTTTGTTATTGTTATGAATCATAATGTAAATATCTGACATTCAGGATGTCTTTAGGAGACCCCTGTGAACCACTGCTTTAACCCAACTGAATAAAACTCTTTCTTTAGTTCCTTCCAAAAACACCAGAGACCATCACTCAAGATTAACGTGAATCTCACCCACTGGTGAGTCACTTTCTCCACTTCAGAAAACCAAGCCAAGCAACCTTATATTAAAAAAAAACAGTTAGGAGATTTATGTCATATTATTCTGCTGGCTCTCTCATTTGTTCAGGCTACTTCCAAAGCCACAGGCAGGGGTCAGTGGTAGGTTCTAGGTTCCAGATGTCACTTACTGTGAAATAAAACATTTCTGTTTCCTGCTGGTTGGCTCTCCTTTTGGCGATATTGATTTTGCTCATATAGGTCTCAGATGCGGCCGACTTCACAGACTCTGTAGAGCGGCTGTGTTGGAAGGCATCAGAGACATCAAAGTCCTCCACGGTCAGCATGTCCTGTAAGGTCTGCATGGTGGCATCTAGGGTTTTCCTAACCTAGGGAAAAACAGCACAAATACCTTTATTCTCATAACACCTCCGATGCTACTAAGTCCTTTTCCTGACAGTAGCTTTGTTCTTCCACGTAATGTCCCTAGAAGGTAGGCACGACAAGATGGTTGCTCATAGATAGGCAAATTTGTCCTTGGTCCAAGACCAAGTAGCTGGCAGACTGAGAAGCCAGATTGCCCAATCTAAGGTCATTTATTGGGTTGCTTCTGTCTGAGGGACCTTGGGGATGTCATGAGGGTAATGGAGTCAAGTTTCTAGGCTTGTTTCTCTGGTCTGGTTAGATACCCTAAAGGAGCATGGCAATCAACAGAAATGCTCTGGTGTCTTCTCTCATTTAGGGAGGAATAGAGCATCTGATGGTGGGCAGTGATCTGCTGGGAGACAGGACCTTGAGGAAATTAGTTCACTGCCATAGGTTTAATTGGGACTCCAGCTTCCATCCTAGGTCTAGTGAAATCACACAACACAGAGACCACAAAAGCAGGACATGAGGATCTCAGTCTCACAGAAGCCCCAGAATGCGTGGGATCTCGGTGGCAGGCTCTACATCCCAGAGGTAGGTCAGTCCAAAAGGAATCACAGGCAGAAAGTCAGAATCCATTTATTGTAAGATCATTGACACTCCAAGTCTCTTTTACTGCTCCCAGCTGAAATATCACCTCCTAATGGTGTCAGGCCCCCTAGCACGTGCCATTCATGGTCTAGTGTTTTTTCATATGCAGTCACTCATTGATCTTCATGTTTTAACTTCTGGCATTTTCTCATCAGAAAGAGGAAAAAAACTATGAGACTGTGTTCCCTTTTATTTATTCTCTATCTAGGGTAATGTTTAGCATGTACTATGTGAATAAATATTACGTAAATAAATACTTGTTGAATAAATAAGTGAATAAATCAAAATCAAGTCTGTTTTCCAACACAGACTGATGGAAGTTGATTCAAGGATAAGACAATCCCAGCCCATCCACAGCCCACGGAGAGGGCTGTGTGCCTCATTCTCCTCACTGTGGCCCTAGTTTCCATTTAAATCCCATTCATGGCATTATATATGTGAATCATTTAAAATCCTTGGGGGGAAGACAGAAAATAAACAGAAAGAAAGTACAAATTCTGCCTAGCTCCTGTCTCTCTCTTGCCAGGCTGAAAAGACCAGTCAGTTTGCCTTTTGCTTTGATTTCTGCCCATTGCGGAGATACCAGACACAACTGTCCCTACTGTCCAGGATAGCCTGCATGACATTTGAAGACAGTAGCCATGACTTATCACCTTACACCAGGACTGGACTTCTTGAGGATAAGTTTATCACACAACTTTGAGTAGCACTGCCCAAATCCTGAGGTTTTTTTTCCTCAGGGCTGTAGGGTTGGCTAGCATCCCTCCTCTAGGTGGGGTATGTATTTAGGTCTTAGTAGGACACTGTCTACCTGGCCTCTTCAGTCCACATTACAGTGGACTTACCCAGTGTGATGCTGTGCCACTAGGCAATATGGGAGGACCACTAGGCTGGTGAGACTGACCCATTCCCTGGGGCTTAAAATCCACAATACATTTAGGGCAATCTGGACCTTCTATTTCACTGCGTAATTGTGAGTACTTACTCTGATGATACAACATGACCTTATTGCAGAGAATGAGGCAGGAAAGCACCAAGTCAGTAGTAACCACCAATCACTCTACAGCTGGGATGCAGCCAAGGTTCACATTTTGAAATATTTTTCTCACAGGCTTTTCTCTATGCCTGCAAATCTGCAATCATTCTAAACACAGAGTCCCACTTCCCCTTGTTTCCCTTTCATCTGAGATCTTGTAAGCATCCTTCAGGCCATTAAAGATTCTTAGCACAGATAGGGTGTGTGGTTGTATAGCCTCTCACCAATGATCCGCTGTTTCCTATATAGTACAGGACAGGAGACTCCCCAGCACCTTACTATGGAACTAGACCCAGGCAGCAGCTCACTCACCTCTTCATTCTCAATCTTGAGGGTTGCCAGCCTGGACTGCAGCTGGTGGTACCGCATAAGCAGCTCTGTCTGGACGGGCTGCTGTGCACTGACCTGGCACACCTGCAGAAAGAAACGAGGTCATCACAGTGACCTGCCCTAGGTAACCCATGTAGAACACAGCAAAGGCAGAACCAGATGGAAACTAAGGTCTTCTTACTTCAGAGTCTACCCTCTTGCTGTGGCCAGTGCGGCTTCCCAGTCACAATCGTCTATGTTTGCACAGTAATTGTGGGCTTACAAAGACCTTCTACCAAATCCTGGCATGCCAAACTAATTAATTGCAAGGTGGGAAATTGTGGATGAAAGCAACTGCTTGAACAGCCAGTAGCAAGTATAATGAACCAAAAGCAGTTGACAAGTGATCCTGTCACCACAGGGATGCATAAAGATGTATCAGAGAGACAACTTTGATGATCACATTGTTGGTTCTCTGTATCCACAAGTTTCATGTCCACAATTAGCCAACAAAGGACAGAAAGTATACATAGGGAGAAAAAAAAAAAAAAAAAACCCAAACACCTAGACTGAATGTGGGCAGGCATTTACGTCTTATCATCCCCCAAAGTGTACAAGTGTACAATAAAACTATGGTCAACATTTGCATAGTGTTAGGTATGCTAAGTAATGCAGAGATGATTTCAAGTATGGAGGAGGATGTGCACAGGTTCTTTGTAACCACTGTGCTGTTTTGTATAAGGAGCTCAGTACCCTTGGATTTGGCCATCCCCCATGTCCTGTCAGCAGTCACACACAGATACCAAGAGCAGATGTGCTATTCTTCTGGAGTCTTGCCTTTCAAAGGTGTTACCACCTGTGGACAGGGCTACCTGGTACACTGCAGTTCCTCACCCCTTCTGGGAACACAGCTAAGATCATGCAGGATAATCCGGCTCTTTGGTTTGCTAGTTATTCACTAACTGCTAACTAAGTAGTCAAGCTTCACAGTAACCAGAGTCCTAGAATCTTTATGTATAAGTGACAGACAAAAGGGCTGACCTGGGATAGCAGGATGCCCCAGGAAGAGTTGTGTCACCTTTTACAAGTCCTCTCTTATGCAAATGAAGGACGTGGGTGAAGCCATATAGAGCAGACAGTTGTGGTCATCTTCTAAGATGTCCCCTGTCCCTCCCTAGAAGCAGATGTTACACATGGCCCAACTGAGCTCCCCCTGGGCTTCTGAGGCTGGCTGGTTTGGCACCCACCAGCCTCCCAACTCCCAGAGGGAAAATGATCCAGGGAAGTACAGGGAGCTACCTTCTACATGGGGAACAGAGGACAGTGTCAAGTGCCATCTGCACACTCTTTTTGTTAGTTTTCCAGACCTCAGCAAGGGTCTAGGCAGCACAAGCATGGACGGAAAGTCGGTTGTCTGGTATTTCAAAGGCTCACAATACTGTAGAGGGCACCTAAGGCCTAAGGAGATAAGAGACTATTTCTAGGCAGATTGGAGCATCCTTGAGGTCTCTTAAACACATCTAAGAGGGAGCCTAAGGGAAGGAAATCAAGGACCCACAGTTCTGTAGGTGGGGATGTTAGCCAACAAGACCAGATCATCGGAAGAAGCTCAAGAATTAAGAGCTGACCCTAGGCATACGTACTCAAGGTTTTGTTTTTTTTCTCCTCCCACAATGCTCTAGGAGAATGGCAGAGAACAGAAGTAGCACCTATGATGTTAACATACCCTACTCCCAAATTTGAAGCAAGCATGGGAAACTTATTCTCAAAGTCATGTACAAATGGCATTGGAGGTGGGGCTGCTGGGAAGTGATTAGGACTAGATAGGGTGGTGAGGGTAAGGCCACCATGGTGGCATTAATGGATTATCAGAGGTAGAAGAAAGACAGACTGGAGCTCTGCCTTGCCATGTGGAAACCATGCCATGTCATTACACAGTAGAATGGCCCTCATGAGATGCACCTGCTTTTAGACTTCCTAGCTTTCCTCCCTGTGAGCTGAAGAAGTCTCTATTCCAGTGGCGCTCAACCCTCCTAATGCTGCAACTTAATACAGTCCCTCATGTTGTGGTGGCACCCCAAACATAAAATTATTTTTGATGCTATTTCATAACTGTAACTTTGTTATTGTAATGTAAATATATTTGGAGATAGATGGTTGCCAAAGGGGTTGCCACCCACAGGTTGAGAGCCACTGCTCTATTCCGAGTTATTCAGACTTAGGTACTTTCATATGGTAGTGGAAACTGAACTCATACAGCTGGCTCCCCAAGCAGGGTTCTGGCAGGAAGCCTACCTCATCCCCCATGTGGGGCTGGAACTCAAACTTGAGTGGTGGGCAGAAGACCTGGCTGCACATGTCCATGACCGTGTGCTTGTCACTCCGGGAGTCCAGGTTGTCCACTGCGTTCTCTATGACATCCAGGCCTTCATGGCGAGAGGTTTCCAGGTTATATTCTGCTGAGAGGTAGGTCCGAAAGGTGCGGGCCAGACTGGCATGAAAGCCCAAATCGCAGCACTTGGGGAAAGGCAAGGACAGAAGGGTGCAGATGAGAACCAGGGTGGTGACCTATGGTCACCGTTCAGCCCCTAGCACTTTGGAGGCCTGAAAAAGCCATACCACATCCATCAGAGGGAGCTGAGGGATGAAATGTGGGTACCAACAGAGTTTCTTTCAGCTCCCCAGCCTCCACCACAGTCTCTCGTCTTCAAGCCTTCCCCATCCACGCTCTCTGCCTAGATGGTTTCCATCTGCCATTTAGTTTACAGGCCGCTTCCTTCTGGAAGTTTTCCTTGATGTTCTCTGTACCGAGTTTTGGGCAGAGAACCACATGCCTCCCACCCCCCTCACTGTGGCACTTGCCACAGTAATTGTCTATTAACATGCTCTACACAGGTGTGCTCCCTGGATCTTGTCCACCTCTGAGCCTCAAGTCCTAGCCCACAGTAAGGCGCTCGGTAAACATTTGGCAAGTGAATAGACAAAAAGGCTAAAAGCTGAAAGAGAGTTGAGAGCAAGCAAAGGCGGGGGAGGGGGTCGCTTTAGGCCATTGGAAGACTGAGTAGACTGCCACCACCCCCATGCCCTGACTTTCAGAATAGGATATACAGGGTTAGAGGGAAAGAATCCAGCAACCAATACCAAACCTCTACTGAGCACCTACAGGAATGGATCTCCCATTTATCATGGAAGGGGCGATGGAAAAACAGTCCCAGCTGTAAAAAGTGACACAGTCTCCCATCACTGCCACTCACAGTGTCCTTCTTTAAGCCTGGTGTTCTCCAGGGAGCCCTGCACAGCCCCATAGAGTCAGTGTTCTGTTCTTTGGTGATCAAACTCATTCCTCCCAGGAGAATTTCCCCACATCAAGAGATTCTCTCTCTCCAGTGAGTTTCTCATGGTGTACACCTGGAAGGCTGGACCCAGGGTTCTGAATGAATGGTCCTCTCATCTTCCTTACCAGCAGCCTCTCAGGGTGTGAACTGTATACAGCTCTCCCCTGTGTCCTCGAACCCAGCAGAGGCCCTGGTGCACATGGGAGAACTTTGGAAGTTGATATTGGATATCTAACTAATCAAGCTATGGGACATGGGAGGGATCAACCAGAACTCACTCTATCCATGGAAAATGTGACCATGAATTAGCTCATACTCCAGCCACAAACACTTCCAGTCCTTCTGTTTTAGCAGGGTCACAAAAACTTGGCCAGCTCACATGCAAACTGAGGACCATGGCCAGTCCCATCTTCCCCTAACTCATGAGATGTTTCAGCCCATATGTAGCCCCACCCATCAACCTAGGTTACTCACATCAATGAGATCAGATACATCATGGATGTAGTATTTGCTGATAGCTGCATTGGTGGCTGCCAGATTCAGCAGGTAGTCATTGCGAGCCTTCGTGCACTTGAGCTTATTCTCAGAATATTTGGCCTGCCTCTGGAAGGAGAAGAGGTAGACATCAGCCAAGCCAGCTGGAGGGAGGATCTATGATCTCCATAAGAACTGTTTGAAAGTGAGTCCCACCACTCAGCTATGTGATGCTTCTGCATCAAGGGAGCTCTACTGGACCCTGAATCAGCAATACACCTTGTCTAGCACAGATGCAGCCAGCAATGATGTCATTTGTTACACAGCAGCTTTCAGGTAGTCTCTACCAGGTGGGTTAGAGATAAGATACCCCACTCTCAGTGCTCTCCATGGCTTTCCAAGATGCTTTCAATTAGCCACCATTCCAGCCTCATCTTTCTCTTGTCTCACTCAACCTCCTTTGTCTATCTTCAAGAGACCAGGTTCATTTCTGCTTTGAGTCCTTCAGACTCCTTATAGTCACATTCCTGAACCTCTAAGTGGTCTGTTCCTTGATGTCACTCAAGTGATGTATCTCTTGCATCTCTACTCCTCTCCCCTTGCCCTATTCTGTTTTCATAAGCTCTTTGTTTATTTCTTGGTGACTGGTACTCCCACAAGAAAGGGAACTCCATGAAGTCAGTGCCATGACCGGCCTTGCTCGTGGGTGTTGGATTTATAGCACCCAAACAGACCAACTAAGGTAAGCCTTGGGTCATTTTTAAGAAAGGAGAGAGAGGGAGGGAGAAGAGAAGAAGGAAAAGAGGGGGTGTGGAACAAGTCTGGGTCTAAATAGCAGGAGGAGTGGGTCACAGTACCCAGAATTTTGGAAAAGCATCTTTTATCCTGGGTCAGACCACAAGGGAGGTACACAAAGAGGAACAATGAACAACTGCCCCTTCCCCTTTCAGAATGATGAGTCTTGGCACTGGGTCTCTTTAAAGAAACCATACCTCCAGGAGGTAGTGGCACATGCCTTTAATCCTAGCACTTGGGAGGCAGAGGCAGAGGCAGGCAGATCTCTGTGAGTTCAAGGGCAGCCTGGTCTACAGAGCAAGTTCCAGGACAGGCTCCAAATATACACAGAGAAACCCTGCCTAAAAAAAAGAAAGAAAGGAAGGAAGAAAGAAAGACAGGAAGAAAAAAAAAAAAGAAACTACTTTGTTCAGCTAGCTGTTCTTTCCCATTTCCCATTCCATGTGAGATCTAGCTTTGGAGTAGACCAGTCCCATCATCAACCTTTTAATTCTCAGACATCTTAGGTCCTCTCTGGGACTACTCATCAGATGTCTCCTAGAACTCGTATCCTGTGCCAACCAGGCACCCATCCCAAGAGTGTCTAAACACTCCTGACCCTACCTAGGGGCTCATTATGGCCCTGAGACCTTTTTCCTGGGTTGACTTCATTTTATAATTGAAGAGGACAATCACGGCATCTTAGCTGAACTCATCTATTTATAGGTGAGGAAATGAGAGCTGAAGAAGGGGCTTGTCCATGAGCCAAGCGGCTAATTAGCATATGGCTGCACCAGGAATGAGCCTCTAGAATCCCAGCCAGTATCTTTCCATCCCAGCATTTCCTCTGGAGAGAAACCTTGCATTCATGAGCAGCCACTTATCATCCTCCTCTCCCTCAGATCCGGAATACCAAGCATCTACTTCCTGTGTCCATGGGCATGTCTACTCTGGACATTTCACATAAGTTCATTTGTACAGTTTATGTCTTTTGTGCTTGGCTTCTTTCACTTAGCATGATGTCTTTGGGGCTCTTCCACATTGTGGCATGTATGGGGACTTCATTCCTTTTCAAGGCTGGGTTATTATTTGTTAGTAGCTAAATGTTAGAGTTGTTTCCATCTTTTGGCTACTGTGAACAGTGCTATTGTGAATATTCACATACTAATTTTTATACAAAAATGTTTTCATGCCTCTGGGGCAGATACTCAGGAGTGGCATGACTAAGTCACATGGTAGCCTGGTTCATGTATATCCAACATCTAAAGAACTGCCAAATGGCTTTCCACAGTGACAGAACCACTCAATACACAGCCTGCCCCTGACAGCAGTGCAAGATTTCCTGATTCCCACATCCTCATCCCTGCCTCTTCCTCCAGCCTTTTTATCCTGGTCCTTCAGATGGCTGTGAAGCACTATTATACTGTGGCTTTCATTTGCATTTCCTTCTTTGATAAGGATGCTGAGCAGATCGCTCTGTGTCTATGAACCACCTAGATGTTCTTAGAAATTGGCTATTCTAAGAGATGGCTAAGCAGTTTAAGAGTGCTGGCTCTTCTTCTAGAGGACCCAGGTTCAATTTCTAGCACTCACATGGTGGCTCAGAACTGTCTGTAACTCCAGTTCCAGGGGATCCAACACCCTCTTCTAGTCTCTGAGGGCACCAAGAATAAAAGTGGGGCATTTACACACATGCTGACAGAACACCCATAAATAAAATAATAAAAAGAAATGTCTATTCAAATTCCTTGCCCATTTTGGTATAAAGTCTTTGACTGGGTTTTATATTTTCCTCACTTTCAAAAATTATAGCAGGACACACACACACACACACACACACACACACACACACACACACACACACACTTACTTTTATATGCTTCCTAGTTTACCCAGGTTCTGTTGTTACACTTTGTTCCCACCAGTCTATAATTTCTAGAGCTAAAGGACCCTGTAATCATAGAATTAGACCCATGGAAGAACAGATAAACATCTGATGCAATGGCTTGCAGATAGAACTCTGCAAATGTTTCCTGGTTGTGGGGAGTAGATGGATATGAAGAATTCAGCAAGAAGATCATAGCCTTTGAAGAAGAAAGGAGAGTCGGAAGTCACAGATGGGTCCTGCACTTCAAAACTCCCTGGCTATAGCAGAAGTCATTAAGTGATCTTAGCACCTTTTCAACTAAGCCTTGATAAAGCTGCACAATCCTCAACAGAGTACTCTGGGTGGCCACTACCAATGTATCAGAGCCAACATGAGCAATAAGATTTATTTATCAGGTTTGAAAACTGAAGCTCAGGGAGAGGTGTTAATAATGTAGCATGTAAAACCCCCAGCTAGGATGCTGTGGGGAGTGCTTTCTGTGTGAGCATAAAGACCTCCTTGGATCCATAGCTCCATGTGAAAACTGAACTCAGGTGTGTAACCCCAGAGCTGGGGAAGGGGTAGGAGACTCCTCCGGCTTGATGGCCAGCTGATCTAGCCAATCAGTGCACTGCAGGTTCAGAAACAGACCGTGTCTCATAGAGTGAGACGGGGAGAGCAACAGAGGAAGATACTTGATCTCAACCTCCAATCTCTATAAACACAGGAGAGGAGCACACCTGCATACAAATTGCACACACGTGCATACAACATACGAAAGTAAACAAGCAAACTAACCCTAGGCTACCAGACCCCAGATCTTGAGCTCTGTCCACCACACCTACCAGAAGGCTTTGTAGCAGCCACACATAGTGCTTCTGAAGCTATGGTCTTTGACATGGCCATGGCAATTTCACAATGGGCCTGTGATAGCTTTCAATGCTAACTTGAGACAACCTAGAAAATTACCTGGGAAGAAAGCCTTAATGAGGAATTGTCTCTATTGGATTGGACTCTGGGCATGCCGGTAGGAGATTGTCTTAACTGAATTAAATAAAATGGGAAAATCCACCCTGAATGTGTGACACTATTTCACTGGCTGGGTCTTGAACTTGGTTAGGTGAATAAAGCTAGCGTAGCATAAGCAAATGATGGAGTGAGCGAGTATGTTCATTTCTCTCTGCTCTTGACTGTGGAAGTGATAGGAATAGCCATTTTCAGTGCCTGCCACTTGGATGTCCCTGCACCCACAGACTGTAACCGTGAGCTAAAGTAAGCTCTTTCTCCCTTAAGTTGCTTTCTGTCAGAACATTTCATCATAGCAGAACAAATGGAACCAGGACAGGGCCCCTTATCCTTCCTGCAAAGGGGGAAGGCAAGTCGGCATCTGAGTGCCTCGCCCCTTTTCTCGCACTCACCTTCTCCTTCATCTTCTCAATCTTCTTCACAGAGCTGCGGCGCTGGGGCCGGTCCTCGTGCCGGAGCAGGTTCATGCTGAGGTCTCCTGACTTGTTGAACTGTTTTTCCTCCTGTTTCTCAGCCTCCTTCAGCTTGCTTTCTGCACTTATGCTCTCTGCGTGGTACATGTGGTAGGTTTTCATGACCTGGGAATACATTTGTGCAAGGAACCAGCAGCCTGTTATGGATCAGCATGGTGCATCTTGTCCCTGGCCCCACCCCAAGTTCCACATACTGTCCCCCCCCCACACACACACACATACATTCATCTTAATTTCTTTACTCTGCTTAGACTTCCTGGGGACTGGAAATGGAGATGTTCCTCAGGTGTACTGACTTGAGCGTGAGTGACACCATAGTCACCCTCTTCTTCATGACCATCATCATCAACATCACTAGGCCCTACTAAGTATCAAGTGTGAGCTAGTAAATGGGAAATTAAGAAGAGCACCACAGGGCTGGAGAGATGGCTCAGAGGTTAAGAACATTGACTCCTCTTCCAGAGGAGGTCCTGAGTTCAATTCCCAGCAACCACATGGTGGTTCACAACCATCTATAATGGCATTTGTTGCTTTCTTCTGGCCTGCAGGAATACATGGAGGCAGAATGTTGTATACATAATAAATAAATCTTAAAAAAAATAAATCTTTAAAAAAAGGTTGTATGGTGAGCTGGGCCCTTGTTGGCTGTCCTCTCTAGTCCTGCTAGCTGTGACCCTTATATCCTTCCTTCTCATCTCTACCCCAAATCAGTGGGAAAGCCCTTAAAAAGGGCATATGCAAACTACCCTGTTATATAACCTAATAGATACTCTGTGGTCCCTGGAATACATTCAACTTCAGCTATACAAAGAATTCCAACAAAGCAAATTGCACTCTGCTACTCGTCTCCTGTAACAAAACAGGATATGATTATAACAGGGGGAATTCTGAACCCAAAGTTTCATCCTGAAACTTTTCCAAACTTGCAAAGCAACCTATGAATGAGACATGGAGTCAGCATTTCCTCTCAGATGGGGGCTTCTCCACAGCCCACCCACATGGCTCACTTCCAGTTTCCCCCAAAGCCACAAGAACCCACTTCTCACTGATTTCATTCATTCCAATAAACCCTTGCAAACCCCCCACAGCCCATGAAGAGTCCCTACTGATACATGCTTGACATCTAGTGGCCAGAAGGAATGACTGCAACTTTAATAGGTGAGCAAAGAGGTCCTATTATTCCCAGGGGTCTTCAGGCCATGGTTGACAGAAAGACCACGTGGTCAAGAACAGGAAGCATCTTCTACAGTCTTCTTGGGGTGCCTTCCTGTCCCTGTGATACTCCCCCATCCCTCTATGTTCAGAGGCACTCGGATCTGTGGCTTTTCTGTCACGTTGCTACTGCTCTTTGTATCTAGACACACACACCCCTCCTGGGTTTAGTGATGATTACAATGTCGACTCTTCTACTTCAGTTTTCCTGATATTCTCATCTCAGCAGCAACCTATCATCTGTACTGGGCTATTCCTACTGGTGGGAGAAGCATTTCATATATTAAAAGGTCACAGCATTGGGTGCTATACTATGCTGAGAATAATTATAAGGAAAAAGTCTGCCCACATTCAGTCTGAACATTTTTTTTCCTGAATATTTCCTGAAGTCTCCTGAATATTTCCACAGATACAGAACTGGCAGATACCCAGAGCTAACTGGACCCAAAACACAGGCCTCAGCAGGGAAAGACTTCAGTTCAATAGTCTAGAAGAGTCTGCTGCTGTTGCCAATTCAGGATGTATTAAGTCGTATTTAAGCTTATCTGGTACTTCAGAGTTTACAAACAACTTTCATTTATCTGCTTCTATTGAAGGAGTGTTTCAAACCATCCTTAGTCAGTGTGATAGCAATTAAAATGGCAATAGCAGCTAAAACCAACTGAGCACCTCCTACATGCCAAGCCTTCACCTACATTCTACATACACCACACTATTGATTTCTCACAAAAAAAAAAAAAAAAACCCCATGGCAAAGGCACCTGTGATCTCTGATTTATAGGTGAGGACCTAAAACCAGTTCAGTCCGGCTTCCTTGAGGTCAAAACGCTAGCACAAGTGGAGTCAAGATTCAAAGCCAAGCTAATGGGCACATGGGTATAGCTCCCTCTTGGTACAAGCTCGCTGAATTTCAGAACTTGAAGTCTCAACCGCCCTACTACATCCTAGCTGTCTATGGAGAGGATGTGTATTTTCATGTCCTCCTGGTGATGTTCAACAGGGGCAGATATAGGTATTTTAGAAACAGGGAGTACAAAGTGACTGGCCTTTGATATCTGCACACTAGCATAGGGTGTGTGTGTGTGTGTGTGTGTGTGTGTGTGTGTGTGTGTGTGTGTGGTCCATAGGTCTCCATCCCACATGATATCTAGCATTGGGGAATCTAGGGAACAACCTCAATGGGACACAAAAGTTGGACACTATCTTAGACTCTCGTGTTCTCAGAACGTAAGAGCCAGAAATCTTGGTTTATTAATTCCATTTTCAAAGAAACTGAGACTGGAGGCTGGGTCTATTGACCTCTAGGCCTGGCCTTTTCTGGTAATCATGCTGTCTTTTGCTGTATGCATTTCACAGCTTCCCAAATGCCTGAAGGAAGGAAGAGGTGGGGAACTTTTAGACTCTAGTTTAAATGCAAAAGATAAAAGAGAACTTGGAAGTCAATAGCATCCATAAGGAGGCATGCTTTATAAGGCTTCAAGAGGATCAGCTGCCAGGAAACAATTTCTCAAAGGTGTGCCTTGATCCTTAGGTAGGGTCAACCCAAGGGACAGTGACCTCTGCCTGGAGCATTTGAGTGTGGGTGAACTCCTGGACCAAGCCATTACACAAAGACATCCAAGAAAGAAGGAAAGTTCTACAGTTTGCTTGATCACCCACTGAAGTGACTTCATTAAGATCTTTATAGAACTTGATATCTATTTTCACTTTCTCATTGTTCATGTCTAGTGACTATCTTGTCGCAACTAAAATGCAACATCCTGAGGTAGGACCCTGCCTCATTTACTAGAGCATGGACAGATTGCCATCAAGTGTCACTGTACATATGTATGCATGCATGAATGTGTAGATGGATATGGTTGAATGAATGGGTAGGTGGAAGAGTTAGTGGAAAGATGCATGGGTGGGAAATAAGGGGTAGGGGTGAAAGAGAGAGGAAACAGGGAAGTAAGGTAAGATGCAAAAGATACTGTTAGTTTTATTGCTTTTGATCTGATGACACTACTTGGGGACAAGGAGAAGTTATATCCTTTGGCATTAAATACTGATTAAATACTTCTTATATAGTCATTACTCTATTAGATACTATACCAGGAAATACTACACAGCATAAGACACAGGGAGACTAATAGAATGTACACTGTGGTGGGAACATGAACTATGATACTAGCTACTATCACAGGATATGGTAAGAGCTGTGATGTGGGGAATGCAGGCACTACAGGAAAACTCCCTGGGAAGTGATAGCTAAACCAAGCCTTGAAGAAGGGGTTGCTGTTATCTGTATGAACAGGGCTCAGAGCATTGGGGGATGTTTTAGACAAAGAGACAGTAGCCCAAGAGAAGCAGGAGCTGAACAGGGCTGAGGAATAGCCAGTGCATAAATAAATATCAGGTGACTGGTCATCAGAGCCTCTACCTTACCCTTCCCCTCCTCACCCTGCTGTCCCCTCAGTGGACATCTGTTGTTTTTCTCTGCCTGGGATTATCTAGTCCTCCTCCAAGAACAGCTTCCTGATTTTATTTGAGGAAACCCCCAAAATTCCCCTCCATTATTCTCAGTCCATGGAGTTCATGGGAAATTGACATGACCTCCAACCCTGGCAGTGGACATGAGACCCAGGCCTGGCCAATTGGCAAACATCATTTCAATCCAGTCATAATGATAAGGGCTAATAATCTACGCCCTTGCAGATCTTACTTGAAATACTTAGAGTGGCACTGTGGTTGGTATTAGGAGGAGGATAGGAGATCAAGAGAGGGCAAACTTGATAGGAGACGCTCACACAGAGGAAAACCAAATCAAAAGGAGCTACACATTGGTTCCCAAATAAGAAAGGGATGAAGGAAGGACTGATAGATAGGTAGATGAATGGATAAATAGGTAGGTAGATGGATGCACAATGAATGGGTGGATTACAAAGGATGCATGCATGTATGGATGGGTGGATAGATGGACAGACAGACAGGAGAGAGACGATAAGGAAGGAGAGGATGAAGGATGAAAGGAAGGAAGAAGCAGAAGAATCGAGGCAAAGTTCTCCTTCCTTCGAGCTAGTGAGTACATTAGAGAGGAAGGACAGATACACTTTACTGTGATTAAATATTGATCAAGCAGCTGTGTGCCAAGATTATACCTGATGTGTTCAAAATATTATAGCACAGATGACAGAGAGAGCCTCTGCCCTCAAAGTACACACTGTATTTTTGAGATGGGCCATGACATGATAGACAAGTCTCTGGGTCCAGATATGCCTGAACCACCAATAGATTGGCATGCTCACATAACTAGTACTGTGGTGCGAATGGGTCCCCCAAAGCTCCCCAGTGTGATTATGTTGAGAGGTGATTAGTGCGAATATTGCTAGAGTGGGCTGGTTATTGCAAGTGAATTTAATTTGCTATAAAACAGATTCAAACTCCTTTCACAATCTGTGGTGGCCCTTCCTTGGCCTCCGTTTTCTGCCACAGATGGCACGGCATGAGATCATTTGCCAGGTGCCAGTGACATGCTCATGGACCTCCCAGATCCCAGAGCCTTATACCAAATAACATCTATTTTTAATAGATCATCTACCTAGCTTCAGATTCTCAGTTATAGCACCACTAAACACTGAAACAGCCTGTCTGCACTGGATTCCTGTCCCTTACCAATAACTGAGTCCCCAAAGGCAGATTTCCTTCCCTTCTAGCTCCCCAGCTACCCACATCACTCCTGATCCCAACAGATCAAGCTTAGGACAGCGACTGGTGAATAATGTTGACAGGCAGAGCACAGGCTCCTCCCACATACCAGCAGCTGCCTCCCTGCTGTTTCTTGTGGCCACTGTCCCTCCCCATCATGCTCTGTCAAATGCCATCTCATCCCTGTTGACTTTCTACTCAAAGATTTC